GATTAAACTGAGCTAGAAAAGGAAAGCTGAGCCAACCTGGATCCAATCGAACAAGAAGCATGTAGAGGAGGACAGCAGCCAGGAAGACTCTCCGCAGAGGGAAGGAGCCAGAGCGGGTCACAAACAGCTTTCTGTACAAAAACCTGAGCATGGTTTCAAGTTTATGGACGACGGACCCTGTGGAAACAAACACAATCAGAAAGACAGTCTGGATTTTGTATTTTTCTGTTATTTCTTATTATGCATTTCATCAGGATTGAACTGAAGAATGAGACCTTGATTTGAGACGGTAGTTCCACAAATCTCAGGGTCTGGACTCAATCTGGGATCTAGAGGTGCTTCTTCAAGCTGTTGTTCTTTTTCTTCTAAGACCTCCAGCGCTGCTTGTCTCTGCCCCTCTGTGAACGCGGCGTTTCCAACCTCGCCCATGATCAGCTCCAGGGCCTCGTCGTTTTGTCCGGTCGGCACAAGGACGTGCAGCAGGTACAGCTCAGCCACCGTGCCGAAGCCCGTCACTCTGCTGTTGGACGGGCAGTGTAGCCAAACTCTGGCTGCTGCATGCATCACAGCCGGCTCTCCCACTTTGGAGTACAGAAGTATGCTGCAAAAAATTAAAGAGAGCATGTTTTCAATATGCTAAAAAAGTGTTGGGTCAGAAACATAATCTGCAACAATTAAGATAATTTTCTAAATATTTACTTTGAGGCAAAAAAATATAAATATTCACCACATCTGCATAATTTTAGCAGGTATTTTCTCCTGTTGCTCATAATGCTGCAGGACCCAGGAGAGGACCCCCATGCCACTGATTGAGCTCCGCCAGGGCTTGAATCCCTAAGATGCAGAAACCAGCCTTAAACTCTCCACATCTAAAGAAAAACAAACACAGAAACACTCAGACACAATCACGGACGTTGCGTTGAAGGAAAACGTAGGACTGACAATCCAGGTCGCCAACGGAGGAAAGGGCTCTTATAGGGCCTGGAATAAATGAGACTTTATACCTTGTGGTATAGTGAAGTATTGGAGACATTGTTGAAGCTGTTAATGTGTCACATCTATGAAAAAATCTGTGAAGAGTCTCAGTGTGCACTTTGATCATGTTTTTAAATTTGGCAAACAGATATCTACTGTTGTGAGATCTAGTTTTTACCAGCTCAGACTTGTAGAAAATAAAATCACACCTCCCTGCCAATGATCTAGAATCAGTAACACATGCATTCACAACATCTCGCCTGGACTACTGCAACTCACTAAATGTGGGCTCGGACCGGTCATCCATCCAAACGCCTGCAGCTTGTCCAAAAAGCGGCTGCTCGCCTCCTAACAGGCACAAAAAAAAAAAAAAAGGGACCACATTCTGTCCACTGGCTTCCTGTTCGCTACAGGATTGATTTTAAAATGGCTCAACACCTCACTACCTCAGTGAACTACGACATGTTCATGCTCCATCCAGAGCACGAAGGTCCTCCAACCAGCTGCTCCTGGACGTGCCCAAAACAAGACTCAAAACGAGGGGCGATCGAGCCTTTTCTGTTGCAGCTCCGACACTTTGGAACAGATTACCATTTAAAATAAGATCTGCTGCCACAGCTGAGCAGTTTAAGTCACTTTTAAAAACCCATTTCTCTAGTTGAGTGTTTTATCCCCAGCAGCAGTGTCTACTGGAACTTTTACTATTGTTTTGTGTTTTAATTCACTTTTAATTTGTGCTTTTACGTGTCTTTATGATGTTTTGGATGTAATGTATTTTGCCTGATTCACTGTCCAGCACTTTGGTCTGTTATAAATGTGCTATATAAATAAAGTTGACTTGACTTGTGAAATGGAGATGTGGTTACATCAATATCAGAGGGTTGACTGAGGCTGTGGTGGAGGGGCCAAATGGGGGCCCTGGTCACACTAATCCTTAAGACTGGATTTCAAGTGATAGATACAACAAGTTCTCATTCAGACTCTCACCTGTTGTCCTCTTGCTCCATGTGTGTGAGACTCTGCAGACCTCTGGTGCACGTCTCAAACGCTGCCTGGAAATCTGTGTAGACCATCAGTTGCTCTGCTGCAGTTTCCAACATGCTGGACACCTGTGTGCAAGGAGAAGTCAGCGGAGGGCTGCACAGAGAGCTGAAGTTTGCAGCCGACGACATGCTGGTTGAACAACTCCTTAATGACAAAATAAAAAATAAATAAAGCAAAAAATATATAATAAAATAAACGCTTAAAGATTCTTATTCGTTTGCATACACTTAGTTTTAACCTGGTCGCCAAATGCGCCTGTCTGAAGGACATTTATCACTTGTTTACCATCCATAATCTCTCGACACTTCCTGCTTTATCTCGCTAGCCAATCAGACGTAAGCGTCTTTAGATCGTGAAACCGGCCAATCACGTTGCTCCTTCTTTCCTAAACGCGTCATCGTCTTCCAACTGTAAACACGTGTGCAGAGCGGAGAGAGCCTCACTGTCTACGGAGAAATATTTAAACGGTTAAACTCGGTTTTTTTGTAAGTAAATCCTTTTGTATTATGATGAATAATGATTGTTTATGTTTGTTTAATTAGTATGAAGTATATTGCGAGGTTTGTCGTGTATTATTTAAGCCGAATTGTTCCACATTGCTAGTTTGATAGCTAACAAGCTAACACTGTTTACTTGGCTTGCTAACGTTTGTATTACCAAGTAATGAAAATATCACAAAATAGTCACATTTGAGTGATAATGTGTATTCATTTAAGTCTTACGTCATCCTAATAACTCACAGCTAAGATTATTAAATGTTAACGTGGATATTGTAGGCCTTTTTTTTTTAGTTAAAACATGTTAAAATACTTCATTAAACATGGACTGTCTTAACCTGTTAGAGCTCATTTCACCCACAAGCCTTTATCAATCAAACTTCAATCAAACTTTATTTATAAAGCACCTTTCAGACAAATTAAATTGCAGTTCAAAGTGCAGAAAAGTTATTGACAAAAAGTAGTTTATAAAAAAAATCATTGAGAGTAATGCACACCAATAAGAATAAACAAATATGTATAAAAATAAAATAATTTATTAATATTAAATAAATATTAAAATAAATACATAAAGAGGAAAATTTTTAAAATTGTAGTAGGATAAAAAAAAAGAAGACAATACAGTAATGTTAAGATTTTAATTTTTATAAAAGCCAGACTGAATAAATGAGTTTTAAGACTGCGTTTCATGAACTGGTTCATAAACTAAAATCATATCTGATATGTAGTCTGGTGCAAGGCCATGTAATGCTTTATAAACTAATAAAAGAATTTAAAAATCAACACGAAAACTAACAGGCAGCCAGTGTAAAGATTTTAAAACAGGTGTTTATATGTTACCATATTGGTGGGGGATGTCGATACGTTTTATTCAGGGTTTCATGAAGTTGATGAATCAGTGTATTTCTTCTTCTACAGTGTTTGAGCCCTGCGTACGGGGTTACTGTTTGCCGTAAGAATGGGATAATATTTGGGAAAAGCCGTTGTTATTTATCTACTTGTTAATTTTTCCAGATTGTCCTCAAAATGGCAAAAAGCCTCCGGAGCAAATGGAAGAGGAAGATGCGTGCAGAGAAGAGGAAGAAGAATGCCCCTAAAGAGCTGGCCCGTCTGAAGCAAGCTCTGAGCCTGGATAAGAAAGGAGAAGCTGTCATGGCCGACGTGGAGGAGATCGCCACTGTGGTGCCTGCTTCCAAGGTCAAGAAGCAGGCAGATGTAAACATGGCAGAGGTGGAGGGTGATGGTGAGAGAGTGCACAACATGGTTCAACAATGTTTATAGTCGTACTTTAAAAGGGTTTTATCACCCGTCTACTCTAAAAGGGGGCGGCTCAGGAACCAGAGGGCAAGTCCAAACCAAATTGTGGAAGTTGATCTGGTTGCTGGGAGTTGCCAGGTCACTCCCTGTAAAGAAAATCTGCTAAAAATAATATTAAGAACATGTAAACTTTCAATGTTTCTCAAGGAAACAGTATTCTTTCTTTCTTTTTAATCTTTTTCTTGTGTGCGTGTGTTACAGATGGAAAGATGGACATGGACAGCAAGCGAAACAAGACGACTCTGTTGGATGAAAATGGCCAGTACCCCTCATGGATGAGTCAACGGCAGGCCAAGAAACTGAAAGGCAGACGGATGGCAAAGAAAGGTGGCCAAGGCAAGAAGAAGAAAGGACTCTCCTGGTGAAATGGGAGAAGAAAAAAAAAAAGAACTTTTGTTTGCCTTGGAGACGATTCATGCAGAAACACAGGATGGCTTCATGAATTCTGTTCCACATGAGATCTGTATAGTTTCTGCCGTTTGAATCTCATTGTGTTGCATGGATTACAACGCTCATGGTTGTTCCTCAGAGCCTGTTGTTGTTGTTGTTGTAAAGTAATTCACTGCAGGATGAGTTTCTTTTCTTGCGGGAAAGCAGCTTCACCAAATGTTGGGAGAAGTGTTAAGTAACCTTGTGCAAAATGTTGTACCTTTAAGCTCTTTGTCTTTATTGTAGAAACGCAGATGATCTTTGTTGATTAAATCTTTTCATACTCTGATTTTTTTTAAAATCTATACGATGACATATCTATGTTTAAGGAAAACATTGAAGTTTTGAGTGTATATTGTAAACATGAACCACAATAGCTTCAGTTTGACTCAGCTGTTACTCTTTTCCATACTTTTCTCTCCTCGTTTCTTTTTATATAGGGTCAGAATCTCTCAAATCATAGAAATATTTGTGAGTAAACCCTGCTTTGGAAGATGCATTTAAATACCCTAAGAGTTGATGACCATTACTTGCTGAACAATCCCTTCATGACACACTTATTTTCTGTTTTAAACGTAGCTTGTACTAACTAATATGGAGAGGATTTTGTCAAATGCAAACAAAATATGATCATGATAAAATAGAAATCCAGTGGAAGATGAGAAACCTTACATACAACTAAGTTGAAGCTGATGAGAAAAGGACAATAAAAGTTGTGATACAAACTTCACGAGAAGGTCGTCTGTAGAACTTTTATTTTGTTCAATCAGTGCATTGATACATGATGTACGTCCTCGTTTCTCACGCAGCCTCAGTGATTAAAAGCATTTCATTAGAAGTCATTTGGTACAAATTTGCAGTGATAAATACAGAGTCCAAATAAACAGTTTGAAGAACCTTAAAAATCTGCAGGATTCCACTGAGCATGTATCTCAGTCCTTCATCTGAACATAAGCAGCCGGGAACAGGCCGACGCGTCCGTTACACTCTCCCTTCCACCATCCCTCGTCAATCATCTCGACGTTGGTGATGATGTCATCCGGGTTGAAGGAGATCTCGTCGTCAGCCTCTGAAGAAACAGACGAGAAGGATAAGTCCTCGTAAACATAGAGGGAGGACTACCGAAAGTTAGAAAATGAACTGAAACACTGACACACCTCCTTCATAGTCATAAAGTGCGACGGCCTGCAGGCCACACGTCAGGTCTTCATAGTCGTTATCCGTCTCTGAAAGAAAACGTTTAAATTAATGATGTTTTTAAAAAAAAACTAAAGGTTTTAAGATTAACTGAAAGTCCCACACAAACCTGTCGGCACAGGAGGCGGTTCACAAAGGTCCTCGTACTCTCCCCCGCCCTCCTCTTCCTCCTCCACATATGCTGATCTGCCTGGTAATGGTGGAGCGTCCACTTCCTCCTCTTCCTCCTCCACATACGCTGATCTGCCAGGTAATGGTGGAGCGTCCTCTTCCTCCTCCACATATGCTGATCTGCCAGGTAGCGGCGGAGCGTCCACTTCCTCATCCGTGTCGTCACCGCGCGGGGGCAGAGCTGGTGGCTCTTCGTACTCTGGCTCCTTTTGTCAACACCATAACATATATTTCAAATTGTGATATCAAATCCTGGAATGGACCTTAAAGAATTCAGACCCAGTTTGTGCCCTTTATTTATCATCTTAACAATCAAGGGACAAAGATTTGTTTTGCTTTTTTTCCCCCCACAATCCCCAACCTTTAAGTCTGGTGATATTCTAAATGATTCACACAGATGTGAAATCAAATGAATCACATGACTGTATCGTACTACGGGCCTGATTTATTAACAGTTTGCATGAGGAGAAACACGATATCACCTGCTAACAAATGTGCAAGATGTTGGAATGAACTGATTTAATACTCTTCATGTGGGATCTTAGTGTGTTATCAGGGGGACTAACCTCTGGTTCTGGTTCTGGTATTTCCTGTATCTCAGGCATGTACTGGTGGGTTTCTTGTTGTGGCATGAAGCGCTCTGGCTCCACATCTGGAACAGGTGGTGGATGACTTTCCTGCTCTCTGCTTCTCTCCTCCTGTAGAGAACAAGATCTAAACAATGGACGGCATCTTTGACTTCATTTGGACCTGTTTTCACGTTTTTTTTTTTGTTGCACTTTATCCGTTACCTCCTGTCTGCGTTTGGCTGCCTCTCGCTCGCCGCTCTCTCTGGCTTGTCTTCTCGCTCGCTCTTCTTCTGCTTTCTTCCGGTTCTCCTCCTCTGACGCCTTGGCCATGTTCTCAAAACGGGCCTTCAGTTTCCCCGCTCCGGAACTTGCTGGATCATACATGGAATAATAATAAAACAGCATGTTTAGTTTTTGGCACTGCTTTCATCGCTCAGCGGGAAGTTGGCAGAGATTAGTCGATGATGGTGGGTAAACTTACAGGCCTCTATTGGTTGTGTCTTTTCATAGGCTGAGGTAGGGGAGTCGATGTCTGAGAAGCCAGCTGCACTCTAAACACACATCAACAGGGAGAGAGATAGAACTGATTGAAAAGGTCGAGATGAGCAAGAATCATTATCCCATTTGAATCTTTTAATGGTGACTGGTGCTGGGAGACGATTCAGATTCACAGTTTGGATGATCAATTTGATGCTTGTCTCTCTAATTTGTTTTAGATTCAGGACCGTGGATATAGAATCAGGGCGAGAGAGAGAGAGAGGGAGAGAGAGAGAAAGAGAGATAAAGAGAGGGAGATAAAGAGAGAGAGAGGGAGAAAGAGAGAAGATGAGAGAGAGGGAGAGAAAGAGAGAGAAAGAGATAAAGAGAAAGAGAGATAAAGAGAGAGAAAGAGAGAAAATGAGAGAGAGACAGAAAGAGAGAGAGAGAGAAGAGTGTGAGAGAGAGATAGAGAAAAAGAGAGAGACAGAGAGAAATAGAGAGAGAGAAAGAGAGATAGAGAGAGAGAAGAGTGTGAGAGAGAGGAAGAGAGAGAGAAAGAGAGAGATAGAGAGAGAAAGAGAGAGAGAGGGAGAGAAAGAGATAAAGAGAGAAAGAGAGAAAATGAGAGAGAGAGAGAGAAAGAGAAAAAGAGAAAGAGAGAGAGAGAGAGAGAAGAGTGTGAGAGAGAGATAGAGAGAGAGAGAGACAGAGAGAAATAGAGAGAGAGAAAGAGAGATAGAGAGAGAGAAGAGTGTGAGAGAGAGGAAGAGAGAGAGAGAGAGAGAGAGAAAGAGAGAGATAGAGAGAGAAAGAAAGAGAGAGAGAGAAAGAGAGAAGAGTGTGACATCATATTTATGACTTTTGTACAAAATGATTTTTTCACTCTTTAGATCAATAAATCAAGAAACTTATCTGGAATTTGAATATTGTTTTTTTATGAACGAGTCAGAGGCAGAGGCCCACTCAGTCTCTCTTCAATCTAAGCCGCCACACCACTGACCTTATCCATGCGGTCTGCCTGTACTCCATAACGACCTCCAAACCCTGCGGAATAATCTGAAAGGACAAACGTCTGATCACTCTCAAATACAAGGAGATTTTTTATTTTATAAACGCACACGTGTGGGTGTGTCCTCACCTTTCTGTGACTGGTGTTTCTCCGTCTCGCCTTTATAGTCGTAGCCCAGAGCAGCTTTGTCCACCTTCTCCTTCTCCACACCGTACTTCCCTCCAAATCCCTTTGAGTAATCTGAGCGTCACATTCATTAAGAGCACAAAGAGAGAGAACACGTCACAGCCCAAAAAAAATAAAAAATAAAAAAAAGTGTCAAATCTGAAGCTGAAAATCAAAAGCTTCATTTTTAAACTCACCTTTCTGTGACTGGTGTTTTTCTGTTTCTCCTTTATAATCGTAGCCCAGAGCAGCTTTGTCCACCTTCTCCTTCTCCACCCCGTACTTCCCTCCAAAGCCCTTAGCGTAGTCTGGGGAAATTCACACTCAAGATAAAGCTTTTCATACATGCACAAAATGTAAAAACCTGACATGCATACAACTCACACTCACCTTTCTGTGACTGGTGTTTCTCTGTCTGGCTTTTATAGTCATACCCCAAAGCAGCCTTGTCCACTTTCTCCTTCTCCACCCCGTACTTTCCTCCAAATCCCTTTGAGTGATCTAAAAAGGCACAGATTGTCTTTTAGGCAGTCTCTTCCTACAGGAAAGCACTGTACTATAAGTGAGAGGAGTTTGAGGCTCGACAGAGGACTCACCTTTCTGAGACGCATGTTGCTGCACCTCTCCTTTGTATTCAAAGCCCATGGCAGACTGCACAAACACAGATCATATTTAAACTAGATTTACTGCTTTAAAGATTGCTTACTATAAAGTTAAGGACATACAACTTTTACTCTGCACGTAATTATTATTATTATTTTTTTAAACGCTTACTTTATTTTATTTATTTATTTTATTTATTTTATTTATTTTATTTATTTTATTTATTTTATTTATTTTATTTATTTTATTTATTTTATTTATTTATTCATTATTTATTATTTATCATTTTATTTTAATTAAATTAATTAAATTAAATTTAAATTATTTTTATTTGAACATATTTTCAGATTTAACAATTTCAGTGATTTTTAAATTTTCTATTTTAATGTTTCTTTTCCTCTGTCATGATGCTTTTGTCTTGTGTGTAGCATTTTGAATTGCCTTGTCGTTGAAATGTGCTACATAAATAAACTTGCCTTGCCTTACAAAGATATTTCAGACAGATTTATTGTCTAAGTATGTTTTGAATCTTCACGGAGAGTGGGAGTCTCACCTTGTCGACGCGGTCTTTCTGAACACCGAATTTCCCGCCGAAGCCTTTCGCTGCGTCTTTCTGGGAGGAGTGCTGCTCAACCTGAGCCACGTAGTCGTGCCCCAGAGCCGCCTGAACAGTGCACACACATTCATAAACAAGTTCAGCCTGCAGCAGAGAGTCTGTAAACGCGTGGATACAGAGTAGAGCACTAAAGAGATTACATCTGGAAGAAGCTGAAAGGAGGTTAACGAACTAACTGACCTTGTCCATTCTGTCCTTCTCCACTCCAAACTTCCCTCCATATCCATACGACGCCTTGGGAGTCTGATCCTTCTGCTTCCCCTTCTCGTGCTCCACAGCCACTTTGTTCCTGAGCTCTGCGACACTGACAGAAACATACTGACCATGAGGAATCTATTTATCATTGATACATTAGTTTGAGTTTATGAGTGTTCATGCTCTCAGTTACAAATTAAACAATCTATAAAATATAGATCATAAGAATATAAAACCATCATGTCATGACAACCATAAAAACACAGGTGGTTTCAAATTCATTAACACACATTTTAATTATTATGGATCCTGTTGAGGGTGTGAAAACATGAACACATCACACCCTTCACTGGAGTCCTGTTCAACACCTCATCGAATACAAAATCTCCCTTTTGACCCATCAGTGCATCTATAGAAATGTCCCACCCTGCCTCAAGGACCCGATCATCCCACAAACCTTCACTCCACCAACATCAAGCGTCTCCATCTCCCTGGACTAAAGCTGCCCACTGTGGGGGGAGATCAGGCATTCTGCTCTGATGCTCAACAGCTGTGGAGTTCCCTTTCCTACCACCTGAGGGCACCACAGCCCGTTGAGAGTTTCAAAACAGAACTGAAGACTTTCCTTTTTAAATAAGCTTTTTACAGTTTGGCCTTTTCGTGCTTGTTTTTATGCTGATGCTCCTTGATTACTGCTAGGCACTTGTTAAGGCCGCCCTATGGGGCTAACCGCAACCCCCAAACTGACCCAATAAAACACATCATACACCTTATCAAAGTCAAAACAAAAGGACACAAATAACTAAATTATTACACAAAGATCAAATCAAAAACTAACTACACCCCTGAACTCAGCACGGGGCTTTTAAGTACTGAGGCCAGGTGCACCTTGTGAGGCTACAAGAAGCTTCACCTGGGCCGAGCTGGAGACTACAGAAGGGGAGAAGGGACAAACAGCACAGAGAACACAACACAGCCGTAACGACCCTTTTTTGTTGTTTTTAACTCATCCTTCTTAATGCTTCACTTCCCATTTGTACACTCATGTTTCCTAAATTTCTGCCGGCTCTTATAGAGGCCTACTCTGTATAACAGCAGCAATAACAGATAAACTAGTTTATTATGAGGCATCTCTTCAAAAGGCCATGATAGCAGATAATATGGTTTATACATACTCAACTTGTGAGATTTCTATTTGGTTATCAATGAGTAATTCTGGTACAGGTTCCTCCAGTTAATGACTGGCCCATATTGAATGAAAATATCCAAGAAAGGTCTCTGAAGTGTCAAGCTGAGGAGATTTTGTAAATGGGAATTTGCTCAAAAGTTGAAGCTAAGTCGATTCTGACATTTAGGTTTACTGCACCCGATATCAACTTAATCAATGGTCTGATTAAGTTGGCAGTGAGAAAGCTCAGCAGTGTAAATCTCACTGTCAGAGTGTCATCATCATATATTACCCATATTAGGACAGACTTGCAGCTTAACAGCTTGTGCTCTGCTCTCACTTCCTCTTCCTGTTGCTGCACAGCACCCACTCTAACCTGCTTTTTTTTCTCCACGTCATCTGAAGTACGGTTTAGTTCCCGACGCGGAGGTTGTGCGTTTTCTTACCTGATGTGCTCCTTACGGCCCGAGCCCTCGATGGTCTTTGCTCCCCACCGCTGCTCCTGCTCTGAGACGTCATTCTGAAAAAAAAAACAGAAATGTGACACGAGGAAAGTTGACTGGAGGAGTTTATGCACCAACACTTCTCCACAGGAAGTGCAGACTTACCTCAAAGTCAGGGTCTGTCTCCCAGTCATCCCCCTCTGCAGCCACCTTCATGCTCACATCGTGGCCCACAACTGACTTCCACATCTGGGGAAGAAAAACACCATGACACACACAGAGGACATCATTACTCTGATGAATGATGCATTTTTACATTCACTACTGCAAGCATACAAAACAGGTTTAAATCAATTTCCTAAATGAGTTAACTTTGTTATGAATGCTTAATATAGTACTGATATGAAACCACACTCTCTGTCCACCATTTACTGAAGTCCTAGAAAAGGAAGTTAAGTTATTTTCAACATGAAGCTTCATTTCCTTATAATGAAAAAGTCAGAAGACACTGAAACACTTTAGAAACAGTGCAGTAAAAACATAATATTTAAGAAAAATACTTACTAGACATGAAATTAGAGAGAGGCATGAAATGAATCTGTATTTTTTGTTAATGTCATGGATTTTATGTTTAAATTCAACAACAAATGTGCCGTCAGCAGGCAGTAGACACATTGCAGTGGAAATGTTGTACATGTAAATAATAATAATATATTCTACATAAAAAAATTATGATTTATTATTGACTGTCAGTGTTGCTAAAAGTGTTTCTACAACATATTTTGTTAACGGTTTGTACAACAGCCTACAGCTTAGACTTCGTCAGACAACATTTACTTCCTTAATGTCACTTCAACAGAACACAAACACGAGTGTGCTCTTTTTCCTAACTTCAAATAAAAGGAAACTTAATTACCTTTGGCTGTCAACGCAATAAAATCCGTTATAAATGAGGTTATTCCACCGACAGTATTCTTTGAAGGTCTTCACCTTCACAAGTTGAGACACTTTGATGGGGTTGTGAACGCGCATCTGACGCACGTGAACGCGCTTGTGCAAAAAAAACAGAAAATGAATCGATTTTAAATGAACAACTTAAAATTACAAACATGCATCAGATTTTTGTTATAAAGACTAATATGCGTTTATTTTAATTAAAAAAAAAAAATTGTTGCGTTCAAGTGTTTACGGAAATATGACGACCCAGCCACTTGGTGAAAAGCAAATAAGGAGTATAAAGGAGAAACTACAACTTTGCACATTTTTAGCCTTTTAACGTGTACAGTTTATCCCTTCAGTTTTTTTTTTAGCAGAGCTACAGCTGACAGGCCAGTTGTGGTGTCACTACACCACTAGGGGGCAGACTCTCACACATTAAAATCAGGTGTCAACATTGATTTGAACAACCTTGAAATCTGGTTCCTGGACACAAAGTGTAGTGCAGCTGTTACTTGCAGCACTACTATAGGCCACTTTGTGTACACCAAAAGTTTATATGTCTAATTTAAATCTAGAGTGACTTAATTCAGACTGAAAATAAAATCCTTTTATTGAAGCTTGACATGTTAAAATGACAGAAAGCGTGCAAACCAAAGTGTTTTAGGAGATATTTCTAGTGTTTTTAAGACTGATATTTCACCATGTGCAAAATTAAAATGTAAAATGTCACAGTAAATTATGATATCATTCATACTCACCACATGTAGAATTGAGAAAGAGCAACATTTTAAACAGAAGCAGGTACATATCCAGGTCAACCCTTTGCTGAAATAGGGGAAAACACCTGAATAATAACCCTTTTTTTGGTTAATTACTGCACAAAAACAATAAATAAAACGTTTAAATTTGAGTAACAGACCAAAAACTCGATTCATGATTAACACATCAGTCCCTGAACTAAACCACCACCACTTTTATTAGGTTTTCTTTTTCTATACAGCCCTTTAAAACAGTTATTTACAGATAAAGTAGATTTCAGTGTGTGTGTGTGTAAGATGTGAAGAATAGCATGATTGTGAAAGATGAGTACACAATAATTATTCCACCAACAGTGAGATATTAAATTAACAACAAACAGAAAGATTACAGGATATATGGTATGTAGGTCCATGACTACTGTTGGACAATAAGTTATGCTACATCAGAGTAGTCTATAATGGATGGATATCACTGGTAAACACAGCAGTCTTTCTCCTCTGGAATGCATCCTCGCTGTAGTAAAACATTTCACTTGAACGGCATCTTCATTTGCCAACAGCTAAAGGCAAATTTTTAAAATCTCAATGTGTGCAACATAAGCATAAACAGAGACTCACACTGGATATGTAAAAGGGAAACACATAGTGCATGTACAGTCACACGTACTGACTTAATGCTTCTTTGCTAAAATGTGATTTAAAAAGAAAACACACTAGGAATGTGTAAGAACAGAAATTGCACTGTGCTCGTTTTTTGTGTATTAAATGGGAAGAAGAGGAAACGACTGGACTATAAAAGCACATCCTGAACCTCAAAGCCATTTAAATAAAGTAGTCCAAATGTTGGGACGTTTGCTTCATTGCTTTCTGGCAAGGATTAGATGACAAAGCTGATGGCACTTCAACATCTGTCCGCTAAATAAAAGGCGACAACAAATAGCCGGCTAGCTTTGCACAAAGTGGAAACTAACTTCATCAGTTAGTTTGGCTCACTATGACGACTGGTAAAAGAGCAACCATGGCTCTGGTTTGTCATGAGCGTCTCTAAAAGCCCTGTTCCAACTAGTCAAGTCTCCTTCAATAAATCTCACAGAACAAAGTGTTTAAAAACGACAATTGTCCGCTTCGCGTGCCAGAGTCCGACTACTTTGAGCCTCGACGGGTTACTTCTAAGGATTTCCGCAGGGTTGCCTGGCAACTGCTGACAATCAAAATAGTCTGTCGCAGAATAATACATAACGCCGTGAAACAACGTCTCGGTGTTTTAGTTTTTTCCTTTAGTTTACGAGCAAAATTAAAAAGGGGTAAAATACTATTTCTTGATAACTGGTCTTAAGTGTTACTTTTAGTCAATTTTGTAACCTGAGCCAGAACTTCCCCTCTGACTGTGTCAAGCCTCGATGAGCGATTTCCATGACATGTAAACTACAGTCCATAAAATGTCCCACCTTTTTCCCTTGCCTAAAGTGACCCTTTTATATCCAAATCCATAAAGGCACATAAACAACACCATCTTCCTCAATACTTGATTATGAATCTACTTTTAAATTCTTAGAGAGAAAACAAACCTTGTCCCTTCATGTTCTGTCTATCTGGGTTTTTGGAAAATATTATAATATACCCTCAAAGCCTTAAAAGAGCAAATCAGATTAATTTAATTGACTATTTCTTAAAAATCTACATACTTTGGCTAAAAGATTAAGCCATGTAAAGTGCAATGTTTGTATCCTCTATGATTTGTACATGTAACAATGTCAAACATATGGTTGGCTTGGCTAAGGTCAGTGTCCATTCTTCATATCTGTGAAGGGAGCTGGTTTCAGAGGTACCCGCCCAGACACATCAGCAGCAGGACGTGCACAGTGAGCAGATAGAGGCCGAGCAGCAGAGGGGTGCGCTGACGGGAACAGAAAGCCACCCGGAGCATCCGCATTAAACCCGGGCCACCTCTCCGAGACTGCGAGAACAAGAAGGGCAAGGTTACAGCAGACATTCAGCTCATTAGTCTTTATAAGTGCGGTTATTAAGTTGACAAATGAGGTGGTAGGGGACATTAGCGGAGCCTCACTCGAGTGACAGCTCCTTCCGACGGCTCGATGAAAACAGCAGTCTCCTCTTCATGTGCAGAGTGCCATTTAGACTGGCTGTGGCTGGTAATAACAACAACAAAAATAGATGTTAGCTGTCATACTGTGCTGCTTCTACACATTTGTGAACACTAAAAATAACAGATGCAGATACATTTCACAGAAAGTATACACAAGCACAGTTTCACAAATAAAAAACACCTGCGTTTGTACAATTAGAAACATGAAAACAAAGATAGCAGTTGGTTTTGTCTACATGCCCTTCAAGTTCAAGATAGTTATTTCATCTCCTTTAGACATTAAACATTGCTTAAAGCATTATTCTTCATCATCTTGTATCACATTTCGTACCTGAGTCTGAGTCGATCCTGTTCGGCCATCAGCTGCTCCTCAGCAGCCACTCGCTGCTGCGTCTCCTCATCCAGCCTGGTGAAGAGGAGTCAGAAACAGATATTATATTACCACTTTCAAAAACTAATTCTGGTAAAGTCTGACTCGTTCTATACCTCCTCTGTAGCTCTTTGACCTCAGCGATGTAGGCATGGCTGTCGAGCACGCTGCTCCGCTCCTGTGGGGCTCCAGGGGCGCTGTCCACCTCCTCTGTGCCCTGTAGGAGGAGAGGGGAAAGACATATGTAACAGACGTCTCCTTTTCTGCTTTTGAGCTTCAGTAAAATGTGAATTTCCTCAAAAAGAGTTTATCCTATTTAATTCATTTGATATCATAGTTTATGTATGCCTTCTGTAACCCAATAATGAGATAGAGACATAAAAGCGAGCTTACAATTTAAGAGGTTAAAAACTCAAAAAGAACCCGAAAAAAACCCTCCAATGACTTCAAGCATGAGATCTGAGCCCTGATGTTTAATTGTGTCCTTTAAAGTGAGAAGTAAAAGAAAACAGTTACCTCTCTCTGATAGTGTTCTTGTTGTAGTTTGGGTTTATGAGTGCGGGCCTCCTCCAGCATTGATGTGAGTTGCCGCAGTTGTTGGTCCCTCTCTGAGAGCGTGGCGAGGGTCTGCTGCTTCAGCTGCTCTGCTTGGGCCATCCAGTCCATTCGCTCCAGTCTAAGAAACAGAAGAAACAAACAAAAATAATCACAAAAAACCCTTTCCTGCTTTTTTATTTTCATTTTATTTTGACAGATTACAAAACACTGGCCCTGCGCCTCACCTGAGAGTTTCTACTTCCTGCTTGCCCATTTCCACCACATTCTCCAGCTGCATTAAAATACTCAGCATGTCTTCGTTCTTCTTTTTCTCCTCAAAGAGCTCCTGGCTGACTTTGATCAGCTCTCCTGCGCCGAGCCGAGCCAGCTCTGACTTCTGCTTCTTGAGCTCAGTTGTCTGTGTTTGAAGTTGCTCCAACTGTGCACAAAGAGAGGGGGCAAAAATATGATAACAATGCAAAATAGTCAAACTGATTACATTTTTCTGACATCGTTGCCAGTAGAGTAGTGCTTTCTACGAGTCCATGTCTATAATATTAACATTTTTTTCTTCAGAAATATGACGTACCAGTCTCTCCCGGTCATTCTGCAGGGCTTGTAGTGCGTTCTTCAGCCCCCACACTTCTCCAGTGGAGCCTCCAGGGCTGCTCTGTGCTGCCTGGCCACCTGCTCTGCTCATCTCTTCCATCTTCAGGCTCAGTTCCCGGGCCTTGTTCTCCGCTTCGTCCCTGCTGTCCTGGAGCGACGCCATGGCTTTCGAGAACGACTGCTTCTCTGCTTTCAGCTGTGCCGTCGCCTCTTTCTCCTCCAGCAGCTTCTGCTCGACAACCAGCAGGTCTCGTGCCAGCTCTGCCACCCTCTCCTGAGCGGTCTCCGACTCCGTCCGCATCACGCCTCCCTCCCACTGCAGCTCAGCGAGCTCTTTGCCCTTGCTCTCCTGCTCTTGTCTCTCCCTCTGTAGAGTGTCCTGCAGAGCGTCTACTTGTTCCCTCGCTGCTTCTAGCTGCTCCCTCAGCTTCTCAACCTCAGCACCCGGGGCATCGATCACCTGCGACGCCGTCGTAACTTCAACAGCTTGGCTAGGAGTCTCCCTTTCCACTCTGCCGGCTTCTACTTCTGCCGCTCTAGCTTTGCTCACCATCTCTAACTGACTTTCTAAATCCTGTTTCTCCCTTTCCAGAGTGGTGATTCGCTCTCGGTGAGCTGCCAGAAGCTTTTTCTGTTGGGATTCCTTCATGCTCAACACTTGGTTGAGTTCGTCCCGGTAGCCGTGAAGCTGAGCGGACAGGTGGGCCTTTTCAGCGTACAGGTCGTCTCTCTGGACCATCAGAGAGCGCAACTCCTCCTTCAGGCTGTTGTTCTCTCCTGCTGCCTCTTGGATCAGACCGTCCTTCTCCATCATCACCTGCAACACAACACAAATGTGATATCAGCCACTAAATTCAGCTCGAAATCTACTATAAGCTCTCGTTTTTTTTTGTGCGTTACCTGCAGGTGTTTCTCCTCCAGCTGTTTGTACGTATTGAGGACTCTGTCTCTGTCGTCCTGCAAGGAGCCCATGGCCTTTGTGAAAGAATCGAGTTTGGCTTTTCTGCTGATGCTCTCTTCCTGCACCTTTCTCAGTTTTTCCTCCAGATCCCGCAGCTCCCCTCTCCTCTGCTCCAGCTCCTCCTCGGCCGCTTGTGCTCTGCTGTCGGCTTCTTTCCTAGCCTCCTCTGCAGCCTGGCAAATAACAAGCACATCAATCAATCAAGGGGGGGAAATGTGTTAAAAACTCTGTGATGTCAAATTGATTTCTAAGAAAGAAATGTGGTTATGATGCTGATGATGGAATGCAGTTATAAACAAAGCGAATACCTCAGTCACCGCTTGCTCTTTCTCCCCCAGCATTTCCACTTCTCGTTTTTCCTTCTCGTGCAGCTCGGTCTGCAAGTTCTCCGTCAAGGCTTTGGAGGATCGCAGGTCCGTCTCCAGCTGCTCCACGTTCAGACACAGTCGGCTCTCTTCCGCCTCCCTCTCCCTCAGCTCGATTCTGGCCTTGTCGACTTCGCCCTGTAGCCGACCTACAGCCTCCTCCAGAGCTCGGCCCCTCTGATTTAGACTCTCCAGCTCGTTTTTCAGGGCGTGGACTTCAGTCTGTGCGGCCTCGAGCTCAGCTGCGGTCTTCTGAAACTTTTCAGTCTCCTCATCTAGGGCAGCTTGGATCTCTGTGACTTTCCTTTCCTCTGCTTCCAGTCTCAGCTGCCAATCCTTGTCTGCTTTCTCCAGTCTGAAAGGAAAAACAATGGTCACACACAGAACATAATCACTCCAAAGAAATATAATAAACAAGGAGAATGTTTTTACCGATCCACGGACAGCTGGAGTTCCTCTTTGAAGGCGGTTTCTTTTTGAAGCTGTTCGGCCAGTTCTTTAACCCGTGTTTCAGCCTCCCGTACTTCAGCCTCCTTACCCTGCAGAGAATCCTTAAAGCGAGTCTCCCACTGTTTGGCCTCGTCCAAAACTCTGTCCCTGTCGTCTTGCAATGAAGACATGCAGCGCGAGAATGCAGCTAACCGGGCCAGAGACTCGTCCAGACGACCCTGCATCTCCTGAGCCCGTCTCCCAGCTCCTTCTGCCATCTCTCTAGCCTCTAAAGTCGCCTCCTCTTCTTTTTCCCTATCTGTGTATGCGTCCTCCAGCCTCAGCTCCATCTCCTTCAGCTCAGCTCCCAGCCTGAACCTCACAGAGTCGAGGGTTTGCTCTGCCTCGGCTTTCATCGAGGCCTCTTTCTGTTTGGCGTTATTTTCAACAGCTGTCTTTTCAGCTATCGCCTCACTCGCTTTCTTCTGGGCCTCTTCCAGCTCAGATTTGCAGCCAGCCAAGTCGGCCTCAGTCTTTTCTAGGTCTTCTACAATTTTAGACGTCTCCAGTTGGGATTGCTCAAGTTTCTTCTTGAGCTCGTCATGGCCTAGCTGCAGCGCCTTAGTTTCCCTGCCCAGTTCGCTGATCCTCTCCTGGTACTGGATGGAGTCCTTCTGCAGCTGACGGACTTCCAGCTGCTTCTCCCTCAGCAGTTCTTCCAGCTGTTTCGCTCTGCTCTGACTGCCTTCTTTCACCCTCTGAGCGGACTTCAGCTGCTGCTCCAGCTCCCTCTGCTTTCCGGACTCGGCCTCGGCCTCGGCTCGTTCTCTCTGGGCTTGCCTCATGTCCTCCTCCAGCCTAGCAGCCCGCTCCCTCTCCCTCTGAGCTTCGGCTTCCAGTTCGGCTCGTTCCGTCTCCAACCTCTCAACCTCCCGCTTTAAATCTTCGAGCTTCTCACTGTTGTCGGCGGCCTCTTGCTGATAGCCCGCGATGCTCCCGTTGAGCTGAGCCAGCTGGTTCATGAGACGCTCCTCCAGGTTATCTTTCTCAGTTTCAAGGCTTTTCAGAAGCTCCTTGAACTGGGCTTCCCTCTTGGTCCCCTCTACGATCAGGCTCTTCTCTCTCTCTTTGCTCTCTTGGAGGAATGTTTCAAGAGAGGCCTGGAGGCTCTCTTTGTCTTTGGTCTCGTGAAGATCTCGCTCAAGAGAGGCTATTTCAGCTCTAAGTTTAGCCTCCTGTTCATGCCACTGTTCCCTCTCGGCATTAACAGCGGCCTCCGTCGCCCTCATTTTATCCTCCAATAAAGCTTGAACACCTTCAGTCGTTTCTGCTTGATCACTCTCAGCCCTTTCTTCTTCTATTTCTGTCTCTTCAGTAGGTTGCAAATGTGTGTCTTGTGCTTCTACTGCAACTATTTGGTTATCTGGTGTCTCCTCTGGGGTTTGTGGTTCATCTTTGTCTTCGTTGTGACTCTCAACAGGCTCAGCTTTGGTCATGATTACGTTTGATTGTTGAGCAATTACAACCTCTTCCACAACGGTCTGAGCAGCATTGTCCTCTTTCTCTCCCGTCTGTGAAAGTTGTCCCCTCAACTCTTGATCTGTCGCCCTAAAGAGTCTCTTTCTGCCGCCGTAGCGTCGAACTCAGCTTTCAATGCCGCCAGCTCATCTTGAAGGCTTTCCACCTCTGCTTTGAGAGCCCTGCCCTCCCGTTTTGATCCGCTCTTTTCCTGCATCTCTCTCAGCCTCTCGTTCTCCTCCTCCAGCTCGAGTATCTTCTGCTGCTTTGTTTTGGCAAACTTTCTCATTTTGTCCTTCACTGTGTCCACCTCTTTCTGCGCCTCCTCCGCTTGTCTTTCCGCTTCCTGCCTTTTGGCCTCGTGAGTCCTCACCTTGGCGGCGAGCTCCTGCCTCTCCTGCCTGGCGGCCTCCAGGACTCTTCTCACCCGCTCTGCCTCGTCGCTCACATTTTCATACGACTTGAGCAGTGTCTCGTACTCGTCCTTCATGCCTTGAACTTTTTCCTCCCATTCTTTGCACGCTCTGGCGGCCTCCTCTTTCGCCAACTCCACGTCTTTCTTATAGGCATCTTTCTCGCTCAGTATGCCTTCCATGGCCAGTTTGAGGCTCTCACAGGACGATCCCAGGCTCTGGTTTTCCAGTAATGTCCTGTCAACCTCGTCAATCAGTTTAACTTTCTCCGCTCTCAGCTTCTCTAGCTCCTTTTCTGCCGACTCAATTTTCTGCTGCAACTCCTTCAGGAGTTTCTCAGTTGAAGCAAGTTGTTCCTTCAAAGTTTTGTTTCCTTTTAAGGCTTCTTTGCGAGAGATCAGAGCGGCCTGAAGCTTCCGTTGAAGCTGCTGAATCTTTTCCTCGCTGTCTTTTTCTTCCTCTTGCTTCTGTGGAACCTCGACCTCCAACCTTTGAGTTTTTTCTTGCTCCGCCTTCAGTTCTTCCTGTAAAGAAGATATGAGCAGATCCTTCAGAGACACTGTCTCCTGCATTGAGCCTATGAGAGAGTTCTGCTCGCTAAGCTGCTGACTGAGCTCCAGGATTTCATGGTTCTTGTTGTCGAGGAACTGTTTAAAGTCCTGAACTTCAGCCTGAAGAGCTGCGACGGAGGATGCAGAATCGGCAGAAGCTACAGCTTCCGTCTCTGCTTTTAGGGTTTCCGCACAAGTCTCAGCCTGGTGATACTTTTCTCTGAGATCAATAATTTCCTCTGAGAGTGCATCAATTTGTCTTTCCTTTTCTCTTAATGCTTGCAGCTCTTTGCCCACTTCCAAGAATTCAGCCTCCTTAAGTGACAATATGTCCTGGGTTTCCTGCAGCTGCTTCTGAAGCTCTGTGTTAGCCATTTTCACAGTCTGGATCTCGGCTCTGAGGGCTCTCACAGATTCATCCATTTGTTCAGAGAAGACCTCAGATTTGCCTTCAGGTTTCTGAACATGCTCGCTGGATTGCGGCCCTGACGAATAAGTCTCGGATGTTGCAAAATCCACCCAATCCTCCTGCACCCAATCACTTGCTGCTGGCTTTTCCAAAAATTCAGCCACTTGCTTGGTCTCCTTGCGTGGCTGATCCTCTCTTTCAATGTTCACTCTTTCTCTTTCCAATTCTCTCAATTTAGTCTGAAGAGCTTCCTGCTCGCCCGTCTGTGCTTCAAAACGTTCCACAAGCTCGGTGTATTCTTCTTTCTGCTGCTTCAGCTGTTCGCGGTGGTGCCGATCTTTCTCTTTTGCTTTGCGGATGGTTTCCTTGCGAGACTCTTGGGCCTCCTGAACCTTCTTATGAAGGGCTTCACACTCTGCTTCAAGAGAGGCGACCTGGGATTGTAATGTAGTCGTTTCAGAAGTAGAAACGTCAGACGCCTGCTGAGGGTTTTCAGCTTCTTCACTCAGCTTTTTATTCAGAGCGAGCGTCTCGGCGAGAACCTGATCGTGCTGACTTAGTTTCTGCTCCAGAGTTTCACATGCCTCTTCTTTGGATCTTAATGCTTGCTCGAGTTGGACAAGTCTAGCCTCCATTTCACTGATCTCACGTTCTCTGGATTGTTCCGTCTCTCGGAGGATTGCAGAAGTTTCCCTTGCTGTGTCACTTTGCTCTTTCCGTTTCTCTGCCTCTGCCTCAAAATCAGCAACCTTCTTCAAAAGCTCTTTACGTTGTACGAGAGCAGCCTGCAACTTCTTCTTGGCGGTTGTCAGTTGGGTTTCCAGCACTCCTTTCGCCTTTCGCAGACTAACAAGTTCACCATCTTCATCAGTGACCGACTCTTCATGACCTTCTTTCTGTTTCTCATCTCTAACGTTCTCAAGCTCCACTATCTGCTCCTTCAGTTTGTTGACCTCACCGTCTATTTGGAACCTCTCTTCTTCTGCTTGGAGAAGTTTAGCAGACATGCTGTCGTTAAGCTCCGTCATCTCTTGCTCTTTCTGGCTGAGTTGGAGGTGTAGCTCGCTGATTTCAGAGTCCTTCTTTGACAAAGTGTCATTGTTTAGCTCTGATGTCTGAGAGTATTCCAACATGCTGTTTTCCATTTCCTGCAGCTTCTTTTCGAGCTCTGAAGAGAGGAGCTCTCTGTCCTCCAGCTGAGCGTTTAGCATCCTGACCTGCCCCTCCTGCTCGGTGAAAGCTTGTTGAACCATGTCCAGATCCGTCTGCAGAGCCTGGATCTTCTCTTCCTTTGATTTCTTGTCAGCGGTTAAAATTTCTATCTGTTCTTCGAGAAGCTGGATTTCAACGCTGCATTTCTCTAATCCAGAGCTGCTTTCCTGAGATTGTTTGTCCAGCTCTTCTCTCGCTGATTTAAGTTCTTCTGCATAACTTTTGCTCTGAGACTCGGCTTCTTCTCTTGCAACAGTAAGGGACTGTGTTTCTTCTTCCAGGTTCGTGATTTTCTCCTGCGACTCTGCAGCTGCGTCTCGGAGCCTCTGAAGCTCGGCCAAAAGATCGCTGTACCTCTTCTGAAGTTCCTCGGCTAAGACCTGAGCAAAGACCTGACCAGAGGACCCGCTACCATCTGCAGTGAATGAACTCTGCGAAGATAAATTCACTTGTATTGTCTCTCTAATGATGACAGAAGAGGACTCAACTTGAACTGTGGAGGTTTCTGACTCCATGCTCGTCGCCTCCCATGACTGAAGCTGCAGCTGGCTTAAGTCCTGCAGGACGGAGGGCCACTCCTGACCTCCGTCTTGATTCAAAGCTTCCAGGAGGGTCCAGCTGCTGTGGGCGACCTCTGAATCACTACTGGCCACCATCTCGTCAGACGAAGTCCCTTTGGATTCTTCAGGGGAGTCGGACTGGTGTCCAATGAGCTCCGGGCTGCTCTCAGTATCAGCAGAAATGGAGATGACCGAGGTGTCCCCTGCAACTAATGTAGTCTCGTCCTCCTCCTGTGGATCCTCAGTGAAGTCAGGGAGGGCGGTGGAACCATCATGGGGGGACGCAGTGGCATCAGGAACTTGAGCTGGAGTGTGATCGCATCTTTCACATGATGCAACCCCACCGGAGCTTTGCTCTGTAACCAGGCTGAGGGACTCCTTCAAAGCAAAGAGCTCAGTGTCTTTTTCTAGCAGCTGCTGCTCCAGTTCCAGAATGCGCTCTGTGCACGACAACAAAGGAGAAAGTTATCAAGAGTAAAGTCATTAGAAAAAACATTTAGTTATAAACAATTACTTTAAAAGTTGCCGTTACTACAGGTGTTGCATCTAAACAAATTACATCAAGAAGGGCTGTGTGCCTCTACCAGAGATTCTCATTTAGAAACAGAATTAAATATTTTTGTTATTTATACATGTTCAGTCTTGTGCACAACTTTTTACTGCTGCAGAGCTTCATTTAAATTTTGCATCTTTTGTCCTCTGATTAGTTTATGTCTTTAAATGTCTCTTTTTGATCAACCAATTATCAAAAAATTGGTAAATTGTATTTACTTTGGATATGTGACTGACTACTATTTATGTTTGGATGACTGACTTATTCCTGTGAGACAGGAGCCTCTCTGTGTGGAGTCTGAATGTTCTCTCTGGGTACTCCGGCTTCCTCCCACAGTCCAAAGCCATGCTCGTTAGATTAATTGTTGACTCTTAATTGTCCCGTAGGTGTGAATGTGAGTGTGGCTGGTTGTCTGTCTCTATATGATTGACTGCTAAACAGTCCAGGGTTTAACCCCGCCTCTCGCCCAATGACATTTGGGATGGGCTCCAAATCAACTCTGCAGTTTAATACAGAATTCATCTGAAGTCCATTTCTGCCACACATTCAGTAAATGATGTAAAGTTACGGCTCTATTTTTACACTAAGGGTTCTTTACATGAGTTATATTTGCTTTGGCAGAGCAGGAAGGTAAACAGTCACCTGGGACGAGCAGAGTGTATGTGTGAGCACACTGATCTTGTTCATGATATCAGATTTTGTTTCCACGTAAGATATGAACTTTGACATTTATGACGATGACCAATAAGTTCATTGTTTACCTTTTTTGTCTTCAGATGAATCCTGTGGTGATGGTTCAGTGTCATCAACTCTATCGGACATCTGTAACGGACAGAAACAATTTAAAGAGGAAGTATGAGTTATCACTTTCTGCAGGATATGTTGTGTATTTAACAAAGAGAGTCCACTCTTTGAAAAAAGCTCTGTACCTCCTTCATGATTGCTCTTAAATTTTTATATTTGTATGTGCACCTGCAGCATTAGAGGAAGGTCAGGTAAGACAGGCGGTTATAACAGTGGATCAGTGCAGGGCGGATTAAGACACACTTCCTCACACAGTGCAAGTATTGTCTGTCCCTGACCCCTCTGCTGTCCCGTCTGGGATTGACTTACATCACCAGGACAAACACAAGTGTGTCCCTGGAGCAGGTGAAGAGGATAAGACGAGTCACACTGCCCTGCTCTCCAAATAAAAAGTCGACTCTGCAAACTTTATTAGCAGTGAAAGGGGGAAAAGTGCACCTGACATGGTAGGCTCTGTTTCTAGATAGAGCTACACCTCAGCTTATGCTAAGCTTCCAGTCACACATCTTCCTCTTCAACAGCTCTTTGAACAGAGACACATAAAAGCACAAGAAGTCTGAATAAAATAAAGGCACCAAGAAACTTTGAAGTTAAAGCTTCAGAGAGATGATAAACTGTCAAAGTACCACTGAGCATACTTAAGATTTTCTTTTGAGGTTTACATCTCAGGAAAAAATGAGCTGCTAGCATCTGATGCTAAGCAGGAGATGTTCCAAAAACACAGACTGCATCTTACACGTAGATGGTGCGACTCATATTCCTGATTTGACAGTGACTGTTTATCGGTTGTCAGCACTCACCGTTTCAATCTGCTGCTCCAGCTCTTGTATCTTGGCCGTGGTTTCCTCTTGCTCTGAGGTTTTTCTGTTGAGTTGTTCTAAAAAAAAAAACAACAACAGAGATTTAAGGTCAAATGTCTGGTAAACTACAGCGGTGACATTTAAGCATTGAAAAAAGAAACAGAAACATTTTCTCACCCTGAAGGGTTTGCATGGTGTGGGTGAGCTCGGCACAATGTTCTTCGCTCTCGCTGTGTTCGGCTTTCAGCCTCGTCAGTTGAGTCTCGATGGACTTCACAGTGTTCAGGAACAGGGAGAGGTCAGCGGATATGGTGGATTCCTCTTCTGCTTGAACATCTCCCCCAGCCAGAGATCTGAGGTGTCTCCAGATTTCAGCCAAGACCTCGCTCTTCTTCAGGGCATCATGATGTTCCTCCTTGAGTGAAGCCAACTCTCGCTCTAGTTTATCCACTTCTGACTTCTCCTTCTCTGACGCGTCCTCCCTTGTGTGGTCACCTGCCTCTTTCATCGATGAAAGTTCACTCTCAAGCCGAACTATTTCCTCCCTGTCTCTTTCTGAAGCGCAACGCCTCTCGAGCTCGGCCTCCTTCATCAGAGCCAGCTCGCTCTCCAACCGAGAAACTTCCATCTTCTCCTTCTCCAGAGCCTCCTGACTGACGAGCTCCACCTCTCTCAGTGAAGCGAGCTCGCTCTGCTGCCTCGCCACCTCCATGTTGGTACTGTCCAAGGCCTCCAGGCTGCTTCTGAGGGACGCGAGCTCTGCATCAGCCCTGCTCACCTGCTCGACCCACTGCTGCCTCTCCTCCTCTCTCTGCCTGACAGCCTCGGAAAGCTCCTGCTCCATCTGCCGGAATTGAGCCGTCAAGATCTGAGCAGAAAGAGAGAAAGATATGAGAGGGTGTGTGCCTAACAATGACATGTCATTGAGGTGCGGGGTGTGTCTGTTTGAAGAGTTTTTTCTTTTCATCAAGCAGGTGAAGTAATCATGATATGATCTGTAAATATATGAATTAAAGATGCTTACACTGGCATGCAGAAGAACCGGATCTGTACCTGTTTCTGTTGATCAGCACTGCTCACTTCTTGCTGCAGCATTTCCAGCACCTGGGATCGAGAGTTTAAAGCCTCCTCGAGTTCCTCGCAGCGCCTCTGTTCTGCGTACAGAGCCTGAGAGGAGGACAGGCAAAGACGACAAATGATTGTATGAACAGTCAATGTATCTTTAAGGTGTGGTCACTGTATGCGCTCTCATCCACAGGATCAACTGTTTGTAATTTGAACTCAGAAATGAAGAAGGGGGAAATTCTAGCTGCTTTCCAGTTATCTTTATTAAGTGATTTTCCTCTTTTAACTTTAGACTTTTTTGATAAAAGATCATTTGGTCTATTTTGGGCCAAAAATGTAAAAACTTCTGTGGTCCCAGATTTTTAAATGCATTTGCTTTTTCTACTTTTGTCTTCAATAATAGTTAACTTAAATAAAAGGAAAAGCTTCAGACTTACCTGCTGGATCTCGCCGTCGTAGTGCTGCTGTGTTGTGACCCTCAGCAGCTCTTCTTCATGTTTCTGGATCTGTTCCTGGAAACGCACATCCTTCTCACAGACCACAGCCTGCAGTTTCCCCAACTGAAAACAAACAACGCTCGTGATTATTCTGAAAAAAAGCTTCATTCATTACATGCTTTTTTGGCATTTAAATCACGGTTATGTCACCTGCTCGGCATGTGTAGCTTCCTTCTCTTTCAGGAGCTCTTCTGTGATCTGGAGTTGCTCCTGAAGCCCTCTGCTGTTGGATTCCTCCTCGTTCAGCTTCTTCTTGAGCTCCTGCAGCTCCTCCTCGACTGCAGCACCGGCTCCTGTGAAAGAGCTGTCTGGACTCTGAAAAAACAAACATCCAGTCGCTTAATAAAACCCCAGCACACAAGCTTTGTTCATTCTTTGTATATTCTAAAGTCAACAAAAGGATGATTAGTAAAATAAGTCATCAAGCTCAACACAGACTCCTCTGCATTATTCAAACTTACCGTAGCTTCTCCTCCCTGTCCTTTCAGATCTGTAATCTGTTTGTTGAGGGAAGCCATCTTGGCTTTGGCTTGCAGTTTGAGTTTGGTGAAGCGAGCCTCGGCTTCATCTTTCTCGTTCTGTGGAAGCAAAGGAAACAGAAGTCATATTAAAATCATTTGCATATTTAATACAGTGTGTTTGACTTGTAAATTCAGTCTTTAACACACGTGTACACACTGGCGGGACGTTTACCTTGAGCTGTGCATTTTTGTTTGACAGTTCGGTGTCCTTCTGGACGAGCTGGGTGTCTTTGTCTCGGATGAGCTCCTTCAGCTGGACACCAGTTGTTCCAGGTGACCCAGCCTCTCCAGGGCCTCCTCGGGGACCTCGGACTCAGCTGGAGCCTGGCCCTCGTCGGCAGGGAGCTGCGGCACCAACATACCCTGTTCAAGGTAACAGAGAAGACACGTTTGAGTCCCTCTCGGCAAAGCAAAACAGATTTTGTATTGTTTAAGTATTTCATCTGAAGTTTAAGTCTGAGAAAAAACTCTGATGATGTCACCAGCGTCATTTTTTTGTTTGTTGTCACCTGTGGGTCTCCATCTGGGCCCTCCTCTCCAGAGAGCTCCTGGAGGACGGTGGCCAGACGGCTTAACATGAGGACGGCACTGTGAAGAACATAAGAAGGGCAACATTTTAGAGGCTACACCAACATTACTATACTTGTGTCTGACAAATCAATTTTTTTTTACCGCACCTTCACAAGATTATTTTCTGTTTGCAATAAATACAATGTTGAAAATATAAGACCTTGGAAAATATCATGCAAAGGTTTTTTTTTAACAGTATGTTGATTGCTTTTCAAGGTTTTGTCTTTAAGTTAAAAAGCCAAAAACTTTTAGGTTGAAGCTTTGTAACAGTATTGTCTTGCCCGACGAGACAACAGTGGGGTGTTGTTATCATCTTCGGGTTCAGGAAACTGCCATGGGTGTTGTTGACAATTTATTGATTAAAAGCAGCACTTCACCAACACTTGCTGCACTTCTACCGACACATAATATGAGACAAGTGCGCCTCACTAGGTCAGTCTCACAGGCACTCATCCCCGTCCCTGCATACAAAAACTACTATGGTCGGAAGTTCTTATTTTATACAGACACCAAATAAGGAATGACATTCCCCAACATATTAGAACTTTACCATCTACCTCATATTTCAAAAATAAAACACCTTCTCCACACTTACACCTGCACTCATTAATTGTTCATGTATTGTTCGCAGTATCTGTACTGTTTGATGTGTCATGACTGTGGTTTATGTTTCATGTTCTGCAGAACAGGAACCTGCTGGAAACCAGTTTTTAAAACTGCGTCAGGCCCGTTAAACTGTAACTTAATGTTACTTTTAAACTTTCCTGTATAATAAATGAATTGCATTAAATAGGCCAAAATGCAACCAGTTAAAAAAAAAGTTAACCAGCAATGAACATGTAGAAAGCAAACCACCAATTACTTTAAATAATACAGCTTTTAAAACAAAGCATTATAAAAAAAAGTTTGGGGAAAATTTAAATAAATGTTAGAAATGTACAGTACTTCATTTTACTTTTGTAATATGCTGACTTTTATAGATTTATTTTAATTAATTAAATTTAATTAATTTTTTTAGATTTTTTTATTTTATAGATTTATTTTAATTTTAATTAATTTAATTTTAATTATAGATTTTTTTTTATTTTATAGATTTTTTTTAAACTTTTTTTTTAGATTTAGATTCTGCTCAAACCGTGCTCGCAGATAATCATATTTCTCAAAATGTCTCTGGTCCAAAGCAACACATTGTCAGACGCCGCCACCCCCCCGAGTCTTCATGCTCCGATCTTAACCGGACGGACCCGACTTCCCCCGAACACACCGAACTCGCCACTGCGGCTGCGTCACTCTTTTTGTGAACAGCAAAAGATTAAAGCTAGCTAACGCGAAAATGGATCGAAAACTCTCCGAGCGGCTGGACGGCGGTGTTTTCAAAAAGCAGTAGCCGCCTTTGAAGATAAAAGAAACGGCGTCGTGAACGGGACACTCCGCGAAAAACACTCGTTTGTTTACTCTGTAGTTCACACGATACAGTAAGTTAGCTGGAGGCTACTTCGCTAGCTTTACGCTCATCACTCAGAAAACAAGCTGCAAACCTGCCGCGGTGAGATTTTCTTCTTCGTGCGTGACAGCGGTGTCGTGCAGCCAGGTGAGAGGTGTGTTTAAAAAAAAAATAAAGAACAGCTGACTCACCTGTGAGAGTGCTTCCAGTGTAAAGCTTTTTATTTGGTATATTTCCTCGGATGGATGTCAGAGCATAGCCACATCACCAAACATTCCCGGAAACAAAACTTCCTCTGCTCTGATTGGACGAGCGGGATCGGCGTATGTAAGGGACTGTCAACAAATATCAAGGCGTCTCCTCCTTCATAGGGAGTATATTGGATTTAAAAAAAATAAGAAAAATGAGATCTTGAGACTTGAAATACACAACATAATTGTTTTTTTTTTTTTTACATCTTGGAAGAATCCTAAATAAATTGTGAAAAAATGACCGGTCACGACCAGAGAGTAAACCTGATCATCAAGCAGGGCAGGCAGCTTGGCAGGAGCCTGCTGCTGCTGGCACACTACACCACGGTGTTTGTGGCGTTTGTTGGGCGCACCGTGCACTGGATGGTGGAGGCAGTTAAGTGGACAAGCCTGTTTGCACGCTACACAGTGTCGGTGTTTGACTCTATCTTTAGGCACCTTAACTGGGGGAAGAGGAAAGGTGTCACAGGTGGCGCCCGGGAGATCTGCCCAAGCTCTGAGATGACGACACAGTGACATTCATGGGTTTTTTTTTTTCTTACTTTGCCATGTGTGTGTTGAAGCCAAACCCAAGGCAAAGAAAGTGACTGCAGCTGAAGGAATACTGGAATTTGAAGGATGCTGGAAGAAGAAGAAGGAAATGAGGCCTTACTGAAGTCAGAACAAAATATATTTTAAGCTCTTAAATCATACTCTTATTAATGTTATGTTTGTACCTGTGGTTATATAATGTGTATATTCCATGTTTGGTTATCATCAGGAGACGCTTTCCAAATATTTGGAAGCCGTTTTGTGAGGGACTGTTCATGCAAATAAGATGCGGGGTGTAAAATATGTAGGAGGCTGACGTTCATTATAACATTATTACACTACAGCAGAGGAAGGATCAGCTTTTTAATGAAAGCTACATGATGTGCTCTACAAAACATAAACAGCCAAAGTTTTTTTTTTTTATTTCATCTGTGCCTGATTGAAACATACACTTCATTTTGATTTTTGCTGCAGCAGCATCTTTTTGTTTTCTAAGGCAGTCCTTGTATGTTTGACAAAACGAACACTCAATGAGTGAGTGGGTCAGTCACCTGTGGAGATACTGCTTTGTGTGGATATCCTGTGAAAGTGTTACCGTTTGCAAGTTTTGTGGCCAGAGAGAAACTCTTATCTCTGCTGAATGTACTTCAGTGCACGACTTTCTGTATTTACTGCAGCGTCTATGTGAAAACTGACGAAATGAAATGTGAGTGAAATGCTTTAAAATGACCAGCAGCTGATTTTTACTTCAAGTCAAGTTTTTATTTGATTTTTTACTATTTTACGAATACTTATCTTTGAACCAGCAGCATGTTATCATTTTATTTAGCTTAAGCACTAAAATGTTTAAATCTATGTTACTTCACTTTTTTATTTTATGTGAAAACTACAGTTTGAATCATTGACCACACTCAACATGAAAAAAAACAACTTTCTGAGGTGGTTATTAGAGCCCGACCGATTTATCGACCAGCTGATAATTAGCACCTCCATTGACTATCATTATCGGCTCATTTTATTGCAGATATGCGCCAATATTACTAGATTTATTCACCAGTTAAATAGCATTTAACTTAAGCCTCATTGTATTAAACTAGCAGTTCTCTGTCACCAGCAGAGGGCGATGTATGGATTACAACAAGTATCCTCACTCTCCAGTGTCAAGCGGTGATCTACATTGTAAATCTTTTTCACAACTGTTTGATAACTGCATTTGAATTTGAGGGATCAACTCAATAAATGTGTGTATATCTATATGCATCTATCTATACAGATTGAAAATAGATCTAGGAAAGATATCGGCATCAGATATTTTTTCCCTCCCATCTATCTAAGGTATCGGCCCCCAAAAAATCCCACATCGGTCGGGCTGAAATGGTAATATGCTTCAAAAGTGAAGGTAAAAAAAGACTTAATTCCATACACAAACACTACTTATTACAAATACTGTTGTGGTATTCTTTGAAGCGGTTTCTTCTGTGTTTGGATATTTGTTTTAAACTGAAAGGTCAGCTACTGTGCCAGTCGGCCATGGCTTATGGCTTCTTGGCTTTGAGCTGTGGTATCAAAAGTCTCTACCAAGTACCGTTGTGTAATCTTGTTAATTTGCACAAGTATTAAACACAAGTTGAGCATCAACTGAGGAGTATTTTGATTGATGATTAATCCGATTTGTTTCTTGCGTCTTCATAAAACTCTGGAAGAGAGAGCGCTGGATAAGATAAGTGGTTATTATGAAGTTTGTAAGTGTAAGAAGTATAAACTGGAGCGACAGCAATCTGACCACATGACTCAGGATAATATAAGTGACAATCTTTTGTTGTGCAACACCTAGTTTTACTTTTGTTGCTCTGAGTAGATTCTGCTGATAATACTTTGGTACTTTAGGTGGAATTTGTCATTCAGAAGTTTCTGATTATTGAGAATGAACTTTCTAAAGAGCACTGTCCATAAGTAGTTTCAAAGTGTTTATGAGACTAAAAAAAACAATTTACAAAATGCTTTAAAAATCGTACAGCATTAAAAAAATAGGAGCAACATGAGACTACAATAAAAAATAGCTTAAAACATCAATAAAATAAGGAAGAAGGGCGTACAGTGACCCAACAGAGACATTTATTGAGAGCACAAACCCTGTGAAGGCAAACTTATAAATATGTTTATAGAGTAATTTTAAAGATAAAGAAGCTCCCCAGTCTCTCCTAATCAGGGAGTTTGTTCCAGAGAGTGTCGAGCCAAACTGGAAATGCCCCATTAAAACTAAAGGCTCTGAATGCTTTCTCCACCCTTCATACTTCAGTACACATGTTGAGCCAAGTCCCTCCAGCTCAGACTGTGATGGATGCCCCGTGTCTCCTTATGAGGGATAAACGCTGCATTGTATTTGTCAGCACTTCTCAGGTTAACACGGATGGAAACGGAACAATCAGGCTGCCCTTTTAATTGGGGCGATTAAGCCGATTATCTGCATGTTCACTTGGATTACAGCCTGTGATTAGAGCCATGGAGGACACACATAGGAGACAAACAGATACAAAAGGCCCCCCTACCAGCTGCTGTTCTCACCCTAAGTCCAATTGTTGTGTGACTGTGAAGTAGGATTTCCTCCACTTTACAGTAGACCAATTGGACTGAGAGGATCCCGGAGCTGCTGCTGCTTAAAGGCTCTAGCTTCAGTTAACAGACTCACACTCAGGTGGCGCACAGAGAGCAATGGGTAACGCAACAGGTAGCACCGTGGACGACCTGCAAGCCGTGGAGATGCACCTCTGGTACAAGAAATTCATGACCGAGTGCCCCTCGGGGCAGCTCACCCTGCACGAGTTCAAGCAGTTTTTTGGGCTTCGAGGTTTGGACCCCGAGGCCAACGCATACATAGAGCAGATGTTTCGAACGTTCGACATGAATAAGGTAAGATAGACGAGAGGATGACCACAATGAGATTTGTTTTTTTAAAGCTGACAGGATGGGACATAAATCTCTCTGAACAGATTTAAACAAGATGCATACAAACACATTAAGAGGATAAACTTCACACTGGACCTTGTGCTTCAGATGCATATTTAAACACAAAACATGCATGAGAAATGTTTCCCTCTGAGTTCTGAACTTGTAACTACTTCTTATTAACAAATACTATCAGTAATACTGAATGTCAGGTTCATTCATTAGAGAGCAAGAAGGTCCTTTCTATCTGTGTGTGATTCATTTTGAAGTTAACCAGATCAATGTTAGAGTCTGTTACGAGGCAAGTGTCTCATCTTGGACCATTTAAAACAGTCGTAATACTTTTGATGCTAGTTTAATTGATTTGTTGTAGTTTTTTGTGTTCATAAAAGGACATTAAATTATATTTATTGGGGTTGGACTTTCAGTAGCCTGTCAACAAAATGCATGTTGCAAGTTGAGTGATTTACAGATGTTTACATTCTGACAAATAATGCCAAACTAGCCTGATGATTATTTAATTCACTGATTTTTTGAAAAACCTTTTTGTTCTGTTAATCATTTGTGAAAAATGTCTGTAGCTCACAAAGAATAAAGTGAAAAACATGCCGACCTAAAAATGAAATGTCCACATGCCCGTCTCGATTTATGATTTATCAATATGACGACTGTTGACCGGAACAACTGCGTCAGCTCTTTGAACAAATACAGATTTATCAGAATCAGGAAGCTGAAGCATCACTAGAAAGCGGTATGCGATCCTTTTAAGAGGCAATATTTGGAGACCAGGTTACGTTTGCCGACTATTCCTGTAGGTTAATTAATTATTCAATCATTGATGACCTGGGTCTACCAAATGTAGCGTAAACGTAGCCCAGTGAAAGAAGCCAATCACAGCCCAAGGTGACATCTGTACTCTGAATCTTTTGTACAACATTCACTCCAAAACTTGAAGACCTTTTGATATAAGACAAAAGGGGATTTGTTTGTCCATTTGTCTGAATTTTTTTTCTTAAACTACAATTGTGGGATCTAATTTGCCAATTAAGAGAAGGTCAATCGATTAATTGAGTAATTGTTTCAGCGTAAAGCCAATAAACGCACTTGAGTAACACGGTCTGCTGGTTGCATTTAGGTATTCTTTATATAACCAGAGCATAAAAGGTTCTTAAAACTTCAACGTACCGCCGCCCACATGGAAAAAAGAAACAACATCTGTATAATGTAAACAGGAGCGATGCAGTGACGTCCTAGCAGCCAGCTTAGGAAGCATTTCCATCCTTCACAGATTAATTAGCAGAGTCTCGGAGCGTCCAACAGGGTCAGCGCAGGATGCGGCTGTCTGAAAAGCAGGGCGTCTATACTTAGGCTCCCCGTCAGCCCTACAAAAAAGGCAGTGGTAATCTTTATGCATGATTTAAACTACCAGATTATCAACAAGACAATGCCTTGAAGATTGTTCAGGGACTCCCCCGAGATAATCCTCCGCCCTGGCACGCTTCATTTCACACGTTGGAGTTGAAACGAGGGCGGGCGTGTCTTTCAGACTGATGTAAAGCTTTGAATGGATGAAAACAGTTTTTGATGATAAGTAAAAGAGCATGCAGAAGAAACGATTGATTAATAAGCGGATTGTTTTTGCAGGACGGCTACATAGACTTCATGGAGTATGTGGCCGCTCTCAGTCTGGTGATGCGAGGAAAGATGGAGCACAAGCTGCGCTGGTACTTCAAACTTTACGATGTGGACGGAAACGGCTGCATCGACCGCCATGAGCTCCTCAACATCATAAAGGTACAGTGCAGTTTATCATTCAGCTGAAACTCTGCACGCTCTGAACAAGAAGTCTACATGCTGATTCGAGTCTTTTCCCCGCAGGCCATCCGTGCAATCAACGGAAGTGAAAATTCAGACCTGACTGCCGAGGATTTCACAAACCGCGTGTTTGAAAGGATTGATATAAACGGAGATGGTGAGTGTGCTTTCTGGCAGCTGCACGCAGAACTGAAGATGTAGGGAGAGATTGATCGTGGGTGGACAGTTGTGTGTTAGGCATTCATCAGCTTCCAGTGCCGCCTTGAATCAGGAAACAAAACAAGCGTGAAAAGGAAAAGTCGTAGGTGGCCGTGGAACTCAATAGCTACCCTTAAGCCTTTTATCAAAGACTTGAAATCAACTTCTGCAAACTTATCTTTTATTTAAAAACTTTAAAAAAAAAAAAAGCTTTTTAAAGGAGCTGTCCAAAGTTTGACAAACATTGGACTTCAACAAAAACTGTTGGAAAATGGAAAACATTCAGGAAGGATGGATAATTCCCCTACCACCCAAATAGTCCTGCATTCAAATTCAAGGATAGCCTCGAGGTCATGCCGCGCTCCTCATGTAGAGGCTATACTCCTCATCGCAGCGACCGTGGGTCTGAATCTGACCTCGACCTTTTGCTGCATGTCCCCATTCTTTCCTCCCAACACTTCCTGTCCCTCTGCAGCTGTCCAATCCGAAAAAATAGAATGAAGTAATAGCTGCCATTCTGATACACAAACATGATGTATTAATGTAAGCATCACTCAGTTAGAGCGTCTCTGATTTCAGTGTTTTATTCCTGAGTGAAACTCGTCATGTGGGCAGGCTTTAGTCTGGATGATTTTCATTTCTAAGTCTCTGTCTGCAAGTGTTTGAATGGTTGTTGAGCCGATGGCCTTTAAATGAAAGCTCTTTTATTGGCAGTTTTTAAATTGGGGTGTTAGTTGGGATATTATAGAGAAAAATCACAGTAACATCTTGTTTTTTTAACGGTCTTTAAGATTACATTATATGAGTGAGTTCAGGTCGATAAGGAATCAGAACAATTTTTTTTAAAGGAAGAAAGAAATTAATTGTCGTAAAGTGAGCAATTGATTTGGTGCATAATCAAATTACCAATCTGAAGGTCACCTTTGGGATGAGCTATAATCGCGCTGGTTGCTCTGATTTTTCCTTGCTGGTTGTCTTGTCCTGTTTGCTTTTGTTTCAGAAACTCATGTTGTCAACTTATTTTTTTTGTCTGTTAAGTTCTAGTAACCTTAAAGTCAGAATGCCAGCAGAGGCTTAAAAAACAGTTAAAACAAAAATTGATTTGGACGGAGATTTTTTTGAAATGCTGCCTCCAACACCCAGATTCTAATTCAAGCTTTCAATAGTGGGACAAAAGGCTCAATCATCATCATGTTACTACATCAAGTCATGACTAGTAGTGATCATATTTAAACAGAGGTCATCAAAAGTATAACATCTCCTCTTCTAACAGGCGAGCTGTCCTTGGAGGAGTTTGTTGCTGGCGCTCGCAGTGACCAGGATTTCATGGAAGTGATGATCAAAAGTCTGGACCTAACCCACATCGTGGCCATGATCCACAACCGGAGGCACAGTATTTAGGATTTCCCCAATCCAACTACCTCACCCTCATTCCCGATTTAAGCCGAGACCTTCAGTACATTGCCAAAAAAAATAAAATAAGGTAATTTATAGACTGAGATTTTCATCAGGATTGAATCCAGTTTAATATAATGCCGATGTACTGCAAAGAATGACATTTGTTCCTTTTTAATCTCTAAAAGAGTGACACGCATGCACTTTAAATGCATTTGGATGACTCAGTCAACCTCTGCCAACTGCTGATTGTCCTTGTTTAATGCTGCTGAGCTCTCCCAAGGCCACCTTGGCCTGAGGGATGATCTCTCAGACTTTCCACTAACCCAAAGATACCATGACGGATAAAAGGAGGAGAAGATAGGCAGAGAGTTGCAATTAAATGCACTCAATGCTTTCCAAATCCTTTATTTTTCAGTTCCACTACATCACTGTTCACCCTGTAGGGGGGGGGGGGGAGTTTACAGTCAGCGCTGCGCTTAACATCCCTAATGTGATTAAGTCTAAGGCTCAGGTACAGGGAGAGGTTAACGTTTTTGAAAAATCTGTGCAGGATCTCAAAATGTTTGGCCTTTTTCTTCATGTTTTTAACCTTTTATAATTCTTAAAATAAATTTGAAACAAAAGGCAAGATGCTGGACGGTGGTTTTGTAGCATTTCTGTGTGTGGGTGTTTGGCTGAATGAATGCTTCGCTGCAGCCTAAATACAGATACCCTTTGTCGTTTGTTGGCTCTGCACGTCTGGTGCCTTCTGTTGGAAGATGGCAGAATGAGTTTTTTTTTTCTCTTTGCTTTTGCTTACTTTCAAAATAAAATCCAAGTCTTATGTGGACTGCCTATTGAATGTAATGGATGTTAATGTACTGTAGCTTGTAAATTTTTGGATGATTTAGAGCAGTGGTTCTCAACTGGTGGGTCGGGAACTTCGTCTGAGTAAAAAAAAGAGTCAAGAATCTATGAAGGGCTCTTTAAACATGCTGGGTTTGTTCCTTCTCTTTATTCTGTCACAAGTTTTGTACCATCTAAGTCCAAACCGCACCATTTTTCATTCAATACATCTGATTGGTTGAAAAATATCAGAAATCTGGGTCACTATTAGAGGTTGGTGGAAGGTCCTCAGGCTGGACCAGTTGAGAACCACTGATTTAGAGCTCATGTCTTTTCATTTGGCATCTTACACAGTAACTCAAATTATAACTTGCTTGGACTAATCAACAGCAAAAACAGCAAAAAAAACTCAAATTTTAAAAGTGAATTAAGCATGTGTTTGAATAAATAAACATCAACCTGATGAGTACGGTGTAGAGCCTGATCGATATGGGTTTTTTAAAGATGAATGTGCCGATTTGAAGGAGGAGGAGGAAAGTTTGCCAATACCAATATGTCGCCCGATACAGTGACTTTATTAGCTGGATAGGATCTAGCACTGACATGAAAGGTGCTAAGAAGGCTACTTTCTTAAACACAGTCATTTAAGAATCATTAACATTACTTTACATCGACAACCATTACTCTGCTGACTGTCTGCTCCGCTGCGCTGCCCGGCTGCAGACAGTGCTGAGAGTAATTTAAACTATGGAGTCGGAGCACGGTTTGCTGGACAAACTACATGATGACACCATTTCTAAAAAAAAAAAAAGAAATCACCCTAAGCATTGTCTTCCGCGTTACACGCTCTGTTTAGAAAGCTTTCATATGGGCGCATATTGGAAAACTTATAGGCCATTGTTAATATATATGTGACAAGCCAACAGTGATACAATAATATCTGCTGACTGATAGATCAGTCGGGCTTCAGTTAGGAGTGTAATGTAGTTTAATGCAGATAAGATAAGATAAGATGTGTACATGTTCATGTACAGTATTTTTCAACAATTATAACTTTTCATGTGAGGCCATATTTTATATATTTGTAGACCTGTGTATTATTTATCACCTGTCTGTACGTCAGCCTCTGCTTATGGGCTCCCACAGGAGTACGTTATAGTCTCTTATTAACCATGTAATAAAATGTTTATACTGTATAAAGCAGTTCTCTCCATTCTTTCTTTTCATTCCTTTTAGTTAGGGGACTTTAGACTTCTCATCACGTTTTCAAAACATGTCTTTGATATACCTTCAAACAGAGGGTCGCTAGTTCACGATGGTTTGATTTAAACGGGTAAAGCCATAAAACTTTGGTCCTGTTGGAGTTCAAAGGAAGATAAGTTTACCACAGGTGTTTATTCCAAATGTTTTCAGTTCTTAAGTGTTCATAAAAGCCTTTGACTCTTCTCCAATAAACGGTATCAGTATACCAAGACTTCAGTTTACAACCTGATAAAAGTTTTCGCATTAAGGAAACTAAATTCTACCTTTGAGTTGGACAAGTATTCAGCTGCATGCTCCCAACGTTGCTTTAAGTCAAACAAAAATGCAAAACATATTTTTCACCCAAAAAAAACATTTACAACAGAATTAAAATTGTTTATCCTCTGTGTTTTTTTTGGCTTTTATATTATGTAGTTTTTTAATTTATCTAAACAGTTAATAAAACTAAATAAAAAAAACTTAAAACAAATGTTAAGGGCAATATTTGATTTTGATTTATTTCATACAAATGAAAAATATTAAACAATGTCAAGTTTTCTCACATTCTGATGCACAGAGATTTTAAACCACAAGGGGGCAGCGACATGATTGATGAATGTTCCTCCATGAAATTCCCAACAATACTCTAAGCTCCTCTTTTTGATTAATCCCCCTTTGTCTTACTGTCACTGTGCCCCTTCTCTTCTTTCTTCACAGCAGGCTCACAGGAAGTCATACAGGTACTTTACAATGTCGAAACTCACCGTCCTGGAAGATAGATTAAAAAACAACAACATCCGAAGTGAATAACACTCGAAAAAAGTCAACCAGTTCCCTTGATTTATTCTGCTGCAGGTCTCAGTTATGTGTAAGAACAGACATGCACACACACCTGGATATGGCACACATGAAGTCCATAGACACGGCACACTTGTACTTCGGGGCATCGAGCTGGTCATCATGACTGACCTGAGTCAACAGCTGTAAGGTCACCAGGGAGGAGATCTAAAAAAAAAAAAAAAAAAAGGGGATGGAGCGAAACTGAAATGACTCTCAATTCCACTTTTCAAGCACTGCGCTTCTACACTTTGATGTAGAGGCACTAAAAGATGAAAGCCCGTTGCAGAGATATGGGTCGAGCTTAATTTCCTCACACCATTTCACGCTCAGAGCGGGCAGTCAATAGAACGGCAAATGTGTCCACCGATCCCCAAACTCATGACCACAAGGGTTGAAAACTCTCAACTGAAATCTAAAAAGTAGTAAATTTCTACCTAGTAATGTGACAAATGATCCTTTAAAATACTCAGATTATTATAGTGGAAATTCTCTGTCATTTCATTGTCTGGAAAAATGGAAATATAGCATGAAATTAAATTATTTTTTTATATATTGTTGGAGCCGTGAGAGTTTTTACAGCCAACTTTGGGAGTCACAAGAGAGTGGAGAAAGATAGCAAGCATGTCGGACTAAATTAATCCACAGCAGAGCTCCTTTTAAGGCACGTTTATAAAAAAGCCTGCATACAGACTATTAACAGTGTTACATTAACTATACTATATTTGGTCTAATCATCACAGGCTCCCGGCATCATCAACAGATTAAAAGCATATCCAGAAGTCATTTTAACCATCAAAACAGGCAAGTTTGTACATATTCACAGTCTCTACTCCAGGCTTGTGTCAGATGTGTGAAGATAGTCTGCCCACACACTGTCACAACAGAAGCAACACATGACTGCGTTGTTTTCAGTTTTAACTATAAATCAGACCATAATTCACAACATTAACATCGTGCAGTTCTGAAGAAGACTTTGAGCTAGAGATTAAGAAAGTAAATGCACCTGGAAAACTGTATTGAGGTAAAAGTGTTGAATGTGTGTAAACCTGAGGTGTGACACAAACCTGGGAGAAGATGCTGGCAGTGGGGGCGACTCTGTTGTCCACCACGCTGTAGAAAATGGCGAGCAGGCGGTCCAGAGGAAAGGGCTTTGGTCCCAGGAGATGGTTACTAGTCTAGAGATAAAGACAACATATATATATATCTGCTTCATAAACAGTTTCAAACTTAAAGAGAAGCAAGCCAGTGTTTTGTTAAAATCTTCACCTTTTCATTTTTCTTCAAGAAGTTTGTTTTTCTTATTTTGCCGTGGTGCTGTCGTGAGGAAACAGAGCGACATCAAACAGATTCAGTCACACAAGTCAAGAACATTTCATTTGTATTGGATGAGAGACTTCCTAAGGGATTATCAGCCTGTCGAATGTATGATACCCTCCATCTTTACACCTTTTAATCAGGATTTTTTCAAAACTTCAGAAGCGTAACTTCAACAGATTACCCGGTGTCAAATCTTTTAAGACTTAATTCCTCTACCTTCAGAAAGAAGCGTTTGTCTGTGCGGGCAGGGTTGTAGGATGCAAGGTAGGCTGCAATCAACAGGAACTTGGAGTAATAAGGAAGTTCGACATGAGTGTGAGCCGATAAACCTGGAGGGAAATGAAAGCAACAAGTCAGATGCACATTATATACATCCAGAAAAATAAAACACATGGGCGTTTAGATTCTACTATCCTTTCACACCAGATTCCATCAGAGCATGGTGTTCAATTTCTGCATCAACCAAGTCTCACTGCACCCTATTAGCAGTTTCCCAGTTTAACATCTGCTCTGCATTTTGTGTTATGTCACGCTTTGCAGCAGCTCTCAGTGCGTGTTTGGTACCTCTCACAGTTCCAGTCTCCTTTTCCTCCGTTTGCTGCATCTGCTCCCACTGAAGACTGAAGAGCACGGAAAGAGAGAACAAAACCATGACGAAAGGGAAACACAGCAAACATCATGTTTACATCGGCAGTAACGTTGTTCTGTAGTAGACTGATGTGAAGAACACACACCTGGACACTTCACGCAGGTAAACAGTCTGCATGGCTTTCTTCAAATGAGGCTCAATGTTCCTCCACAGCTTGTGTGTGTCGGTCTCTTTAACTGTGGAGAACAAAAACACAGCAATGTTGAAATATAAATACTTTTTAATCACATTGTAGCCCATTCTTTGTTTTTGTTTACAGCCCATTAACACCTCACAGCAGGCAATTATATCTGTAAATAAACTCTGAGATATACCGACGGCACATACAACCCAACATCAATATAAAGTTTACAACTAGACCTAAAAAAAAAGTTTACAACTAGACCTAAAAAAAAAGTTTACAACTAGACCTAAAAATAAAACTCTCACCCTGAGACTAAAAATCAAAACATTTCACATTGTTAAACAATTAGGAAGGCATTTACCGAGCTCATGCTGTCAGTTTTGGTGACTTTGCTTTAAATTTAATGGCACATGCCAGGCAACGTTTGATGTCATGACAACATTCCTAATTTTTACACCATCTCAAGCACCAATGGATTCGCACACTCAGGCACCACACACCTGATGCAATTAAGGTCCACTAGGGTTCAGCGTTCAGGCTTTAGGCTGGACTTTATCCATCAAGACAGACAACTGAACGCTGATGTTGCTAATTGATAGGTGGAGTAAACAGACAAATGCTTGCACAGCATTGATGTTGGAGAAGCAATTTTTGTTATTTATTCACTTTATATCGATCTATTTGCATTTTACCTTGATTTGGATGATGACACTCTCTTTGTCATGTTTTTTTTATTTACAATGCCTTTACTAATGGTTACTTTTTATCTTGTTTTTATTAAGAGTTACCCTGTAGGTACTGAGCACCGTCATCACTTTGTCTTGTCTTGTGTTGTTGACTGTTTGTGTATACGGAGGAAAACTCTCTAACTGGAAAACCAAATGTACCTACAGGTACAAATAAAGTGACCTAACCTAAGCTAACCACAACAACTTTGTGTGGTGACAGCGAGTGATTGTTGTATTACCGGCCTGATTAGCTTCACCCATAAGTGCAGCTCTTAACATTTAAGGTGTGAAAACGTTCAGATGACTTGAGGGCATCTAAACATGAACAGTTTAAATAATGCATTTATAACTATTGATCAGCTGTCAGATAAAAGAATAAAGATCTTTGTGATTTTACCCTTTCCGTCTGCCAGCGGCTCACAGAACTTTGAAAAATTGAGGGCGGCCTGTTTAAAAAGAGAAATCAGTGATGAGAGACTTTGAAGAAAATCAATACAAGAAATGATTTGATTCATAAGAGAGTGTGGTTGCGAGAGTGTCTGACCAGGTGGCGGAGCTCTCTGAGGTCCCGACAGACCGAGTAAAAGACTCCCAACAAGATGTTGATGTAGGAGGAGTAAAACTCGGCTGAATATGAAGGATGTTTGTCCTGGGACAAAATCTGCTGCAGCTCTCCTACAAATACACGGACAGATGGAGAGACAAAGGGACACACACATACAAAAAAAAAAAACCCTGGGTCATTATGCTATGAATCCAATAAATAAACATATTAGAAGCACTGCCTATCCAAAGTTGGCTACAGACTTTCACACATCAAGTACAGTGAATCACACCCTGTAAGTGCTGAATTTATACAGCGCTGTTTTATAATGCAATAGTCCTCCACAGACGCCGCCTTAAGTGTTGGAACAAAATCACAGGTACAATTTCCCCATCTAACACCTCATCCGCAAGAGTGTGTCATTATGCAGCGTGGTGAGAGTTATTCATACAACAGGCTGATGTAGCATGTGTGTGTGTGTGTGTGTGTGTGTGTGTACACACTTTTACCTTTACTGTAGTCGGGGAAATGGAGCAGAAGAGGCTCGAAACAGCCTGTGTTGGGTCTGAACTTGTCCCAGACGATTTCACTCAGCAGGATGATGGTGACGTTGTCCTCGACCTGAAAAGAACACGTGTGTACAGATGTGTCACGCAACAGTATGTCCACACAGCTACAGCCTTGTTGAATCCATGTTTTGTGTGCTTCATGTGATTAACAAAGAAGGAATCTGCAACGGCTTTGATTTCTTTTTTCAAAAGAAATCTTTGCACGGAATAAAACTCGAATAATCACATTTGATCTTCGTCCCCCATGATATATTTAATTAAAAACTCTCTGTGCATTTGTCATCCTTTCTTCCTCACAGATTTGTGAAAGAGCCCCCCCACACACTCAGCCCAAGGTCATTCAATACAAGAGAAGCTCTTCCAGCTCCACTTCATCATCCACACAGCGCATCAACAAAGAAAGAGGACCACTTGATACGTGACACAGCGAAGACAGTGCTGCACTTTCTTACTAGTTCCTGAAGGCGCAGGAGAGCGGGGAGGAGATTGGCATCAGTGTCTCTCAAAAGCTCAGCCTTTTCCATAACCTGAAAAACACACATTTACATTTAATCTACATTTAATATATTTTAATTGTGGTATTGACTTGCTGTTTTTTCTTGTAACATTACTGTTCAATATGCTGCAAGCCCCTTAAAAGCATAAACAAATAAAATAATGATAATGATGCTAAATACTAGATGGAACCTGCTCCTGTGCTGGCTGGGAATCAAACTTATGTTCTTCACACTAATGCATCTGGAGCTTTGTTGAGCATCTATTTTGCATATGTTATCACAACTAATCATATCCTCATGCAAACATTTAGGTGACACATCCAGAGAATAAATCATTTGATGTGTCATGGATTATAGTATTTTGGTGTGCCAAGTGAGAAGTGATTTTCCGGTTGAGCGTAAAAAAAAAAAACTGCACGGCACTCACAATGTATCGCGTCTGCTTGGCAGGAGACTGGGAGCACTGCTGTCTGTAGATGCGCACAAAGTCGGAGAGGGAGGGACTACGGGGGAGCAGCGAGGCGGCATCGCAGCCAAAGAAAGACAGCAGTAGTTGTTCAAACAGCAGCGCGACAGAAACACATTCGACACAGCTGACGGTCGCGTGAGGAAGCTGCAGGGAGGAGGACGAGAGACGATTAGCGTTGGGTTGATGCACATATTTGTTTTTGTTGCACACTGAACATGAAATGATCTAAAGCATGTCCTCAGCTGTCAGTTGGTGTTACATGAGAGAAAAACAGAAAGGGGATGTTGAATCAACACCAAATATAAAGCAAATAATAATAGCGATGACAGTAAGTTACTAAGTCAATTTTGATTTTGATAATCAACTTTGGTGATTACAGTTTCTCAAATTAAAGGATTTGCAGATCTTTCACTGAAGGTTTCAGACTAGTGGCTGATGTAAAACTGAATTTGGAGACATCATTTGGCAATCTTGTAAATTGCTTTTCTTTATTGGTCTACAAATGGAAACCAAAACAATTTCATTATCAAACAATCTCGCCCCGTGCCGATAGATTTTGCATTTATATTCTGATATCTGTTAATCCAGACAATGAGGATCAGGACTGAGTTTACCTGTCCATATATTTATGTATTACTTACAGTCTATTGTATATGTCGCAAAGTCAACAATTCATCATCAAGGTTGAAGCAGGAGTTTCTCTCACCTCAAGTTCCTTCAGCAAAACTTGCATTACATGACTCTTCCCTGAAGCGCGATGTCCATAGATGAAGATGGAGGGGTAGCTGTACTGCTGGGGCTGTAAGCACAAAATCCACTCAATATAATTACAACATTTCTATTTCATCAATGACAACACTTTCTTTTTTTTTATCCCACTGTTGATTTCTAACCTCAGTCTGTCTTTTATGACCAAATTTAATAGGATTGCTGTCAACTAATGTCTTTGACTAGAAATATTCTTCAGGCTCTAGTAGTCATTCGGTTACCTTGACAAAATGATGAGATCATTTAATTAAAAATATTCCATGAGATCATCATCATCAACAGTTCATCCAGAGATAAATGTAGAGCGGTATCTCTACAGTTCATTCATTACCGTACAAGCATGTTCTGTTCATTATTATTACTCCCACACCTTAGACATTATGACAAACTGCTCATTCTCATGAAAATGAAGTATTTCTTATTCAAACACCAACAGCCTAATACAGAATGAAGACCATGTGGTGAAAAATCATTAAAAGTATAAAGATGCTTCTAAAAGAAATACAAATTATTGTTATTATTGATATGCATATTGTGGATGTATTTGATATTTGTGAGTGTTAGGTGGTTAGATAGATAGATAGATACTTTATTGATCCCGAGGGAAATTCAAAGCATCCAGCAGCAGGTTACAAAGACATGACATGAAACATCTGTTACAAATTAAACCACAAAACAGACCCCCCCCCTCCTCCCATACATATATATTAACCTGAAAAAAGATTTAAAGAATACCCCTAGATGAATCAAACTTAAACTGTGCAATTAAAAATAGATTTATACAAGAAATGTACATAACCCGTGCAGGGATAAAAACATATGTGAGATTTAATCAAGAACCTATAAACAAAAATCTGTAATTAGACCTGAATATAAAAAAATAAGAATAAAAAAGTGTTGCCCTCCTGAAGTTGTGTTGTTTATATGTGAACAGCGATGTTTAAAAAAAGCAGATAGTGCAGAGTTATCAAAAACAGACATTAAATAAAAGGCAGTGCAAACATTAGCGGTACAGATCAAATGAAAAGATTCTTCTAAAAGAAATAAAAATTATCGTTATGATCGATATTTATATTGTGGATGTACCAGTATTTGATATTTGTGAGTGTTAGGCGGTTTATTGTACTTCAGTGTTTCTCTGACACCCATTGTATAGATCGGGGGTGGGCCACATGCGGCCCCCATCAACCCTTAATGTGGCCCTCAGGTTAATTGTTTACACATCAATTAATTGAAAACATGAAGAAAACATTTTGACATCTGCCATGAAATCATGAAAACCAGAAATATGTTCATAATAATATCTGATCTGATAAATTTGAGACATAATTGATTTGAATTGGTTTTGGAAACTACAATTTGGCCCCCTGGCGGTGAGAATTAAATGGATGTGGCCCCTTGCTGTGACTAAAGTTGCCCCTCCCTGATTTAGATCTAATGAAAAGATTTTACAGCACAGTTGTAAATACAACAGAGGACCCACCTGAAGTTTTAAAATATGTTATTTTACACCCAAAATAAAATAAGTCAGTATTGTTTGGTGACAAAAACATTTAAATAATTGGACACCTGACCTGAGTTGACCCCAAACTGAACAAAACAGCATGTTGACCTGTAAATATAAAGATGTTAACTGGAGCTAAAGCTGTTTTCCAGCCTCCTCCAGGTGTTGACTCTACCTGTCCCATGAGCGACAGCAGGGTACCAGCCTGGGTCTCCCTGCAGGGCAGCTTCTCGGCGACCCTCTGCAGCCTCTCCTCCTCATACGCTTGATGTCGTAACAGTGACGTCATCTTCGTACAAACACCAACAGCACCGCGTAAACAAACCCGGGAGAGCTCGGCGGCGCACACAGGTTAGCTCAACGTGCAGTTACTTAAACAAGAGACGACGAGCTCCAGGGTGCAGTCAAAATACGGGGGAAGAACCAGAAATATATCCGAAAACTACTAGCTGTCAACTCCACGTAGTAGTGTGGCAATATTCATATCTGAAAAACAATTTCTAAGAGGCTAAATTTGTGTGTTCGTAAAAGTCAGGCGAGAAAGCACACAGCCAGACGTTTCGCGCGCGCCTTTAGGTTACGTCAAATGACGCGCCACAGTCAACAGCCAATCACAAGTCGCAAAATGAATCATGGGTAATGTAGTTTTTTGGGGAAAAAAAAAAAAAATAGTGTTAGTAAAAAGAAAAGGAAAGCGTTTATAAAAAATAAAATATAACTATGATATTCTAATAAAAACAGTATAAAACACAAATATATACATTGTTATCCATGTACTTACATAGAGCTGATAAAATATGCATAACAAACTAGTTGAACATTATGGAACAATAACATGCATCCCTTACACAATCTCGTGTGTGAACAAAAGAGTGTTTTAGTGGGAGGCTACGGCTGCTAAGCTGCAAAAAGGACAGATTTAAAAATACTTTTTTACCTACTACAATTGCACTTTATAACGACTCCCCTTTAAGTAAGGACAGAAGACATTTACACTTTTAAACTTTAGCCTGAGTTGCATATATCGTATATCAAACTGTATTGTGGGCTCATGTTTTTTTTGTATGGGTGGGATATGTTTGTATATATGTGTTGTGTTGTGTGTTTGTATGTATGCTGGCTGCTGGAACACCTACATTTCCCTGCTGGGATGAATAAAGTATATATTATCTTATCCATATTTAATCTTCCTATTTAAGACTAGTAATGCTTAGTTAAATCCTGGTTGTATATATTCACATTCTTAGTTTTGATATTTTTAGTGCTTATTTACTTTGTATTAAATATTATATTATGTTTAGATTTGCTAACCCATGTGTTTTTTACTCATATTGTTGGTGTATGCTGCTGTAACGCCACAATTTCCCAGTTTGGGATCAATAAAGTAATTCTATTTTATTCTATTCTATTCTATAGGTGTGTGTTGAGTATTCCCCCTTGGAAGGTCACTGCTGCAACGTCAGCCTCATTTACTATCCTTTTTACATCAAAATTGTAACAAAAATATATGTAAGCCTATAATTCTTTTATTTATTATAAAATGAAATTCATTCTAGTTTTATTGTGATGTTATTGAAAACAAGCGCAATTTGGTAAAGGTGACTAAACCTAATATGTAGTTTTTAACATTGAATATTATTCATTATTGAGGAATATTAGGCTGTCACTGCTGAGATGTGTTTTTTCTTTTCATAAAGGCAGTTTAAGATTTCGCGCGTGTTACTGGAATAATACGTCAGCCTGGGGATTAAGGGGATGTGGGCTGGCCCTGTAATATCCAAAGCGATCCTCTAACTCTGATTCAGTCGGATCTCAGCTGCGGTTGTGGTTCTGTTGGCGTCGAACAGACGAATCATTACAGCGAGCTCTCTTCACCAGTGAATAACAGAGAGAGAGAGAGAGAGAGAGAGAGGAAGCTGTTTTTACGGAATAACAGTCTCCGCCTTTGGACAGGAGTCGGGTAGGGAGATTTTAAATGAAATATGAGGAAGGTGTTGATAAATCAATCGTGTTTTTCTCTCTCTTGGATACCGGATTTCTGAAGCTTGTGAGCGCACGTTTCGGTCTTTTTTTTTTTTTTTTGCAGAGTGATGTAGCCTGTGAGAATAAAGAAGCAATCGTAAAATCCGACCCTGTCATGGATGCGAGTGTGCAGTGATGCTGCAGGTGCAACTGACTATAGTCTGTCAATACAAAGAGCAAAACACTTACTGGTTAATGTAAGAATCCGAAACAAGGGCTGAGCACAAGTTCTACAGCACAGTATGGTTGTGGCTCTTCCAAATCAGATGCTGCAGATGTTTTGAGTGCAGGTTCATTGAGCAGACCCACCTTACACACAGAGACCAGATGATGGTCCCCGGGGCCCCCAGCACGACCACCGCCATGCTCCCAGCGTCGGAGGCTGCCAAGATCTACCAGACCAACTACGTTCGCAACTCCCGCGCCATCGGCGTCCTGTGGGCCATCTTCACCATCCTCTTCGCCATCGTCAACGTGGTGTGCTTCATCCAGCCGTACTGGATCGGGGACGGCGCGGACACTCCGCAGGCGGGCTACTTCGGTCTGTTCCACTACTGCATCGGCAACGGGCTGTCCCGGGACTTGACCTGCCAGGGGAGCTTCACCGAGTTCAGCACCATCCCCTCCGGTGCGTTCAAGGCCGCCTCCTTCTTCATCGGCATGTCCACGGTGCTGGTGCTCTCCTGCATCGGCTGCTTCACGCTCTTCTTCTTCTGCAGCACCGGGACCGTTTACAAGATCTGTGGCTGGATGCAGCTGGCTGCAGGTAGGACACTCTGACTGCAGGTGGGGGGGCTCTGTACAGCTGTTGAGTTGTGCACACAAAACAATATCCAGAATTTGAGGAGTTGATCCAATAAGTTTTGCATAAAAGATTAGGGCTGGGAAATATATCGAGTTTTTAAGATATATCGATATACTTTCAAACAAGATATAGGGTAAGAAATATCTTTAATATGGATATAGTTTATGTTGTATTAAAATAACGTTACAGAGGTGCCAGGTCACCTTTTTCTCATCTCACTGATGATGACTGACTGTCTGTCCCTCTTCACCCTGCTCCTCCTCTCTCTCTCTTTTATTGTATTAAGGAACATTTTTATTTTATAATATTACTTTTTAAATTCACAAACAGGTTTTTTATTTTCCATATGTTTTCACTGTTAATAAAATACATATCGCTGTATATCGAGTATCACAATTCACCTAAACAATATCGAGATATATATTTGGTCCATATCGCCCAGCCCTATAAAAGACTCCAAAATGCACATAAACTGCTCCTAAAAATCCAGATGTTGTATTAGTTTTTCTGATCATGTAAAATCATTTAAACTCTTTGAAGCTTACCATTAGTTTCTTTGGTCACTTGCATAAAAGGTATAACCTGATTAACCTTCATTTTCAGGTTGTATATTAAAGATCAAAACATATTTTACCCATGTTATAGGCTGACACACTAATTTGAGCTCTGTTGAGATTGCTCAGAGGTCAATGAGACATAGAAACGCATAATTTCTTGAAAAGTCTAGGAATCAGATTGGAAAATAAATTGCCAAGACAGAATGTACAAGAAAATCCAGATGTTCCCTGCTTTTTCAGGTGAAGGACACCGCTACTTCAGCCATGGGATCACCATGTGTTAACACATAGATATTCTGAGATGTTTTAGTTTTCAGTGTCCCCGAGACTTTTTTAAAACCAGCACCAAAAAAATAAAACCTGAGCTCAGTCGTCATAAAATGTTACAAAAACAGAAACAGGTAAAAAAAGTCAGTGCTCCTCTCGGTTTGCACTGTCTCTCCTTTTAACTGAGAGCATAGTAAATTGGAAATATGCAAATTATTCCTCTTGCAGTGAGCGCATTAAGGGTCTCTGTAACTTTTTCAAACCGAACATGCATGTGAAATGAAAAACACATGTAAATGAAATGAGAGAAGAGGAAACTGGGTGGACATATAACTCTTCTTTTAATTATCACTTGTCACACTTCCAGCCTCCAGAGCTGAATTATTAGTCTGCATGTGTTCACTGATCTTGATTCTCTTCCAGTCAAAGAACTAGCGCAGCTCAGCTTGATGTCTCCGCCAACTATTTCAGCTCACGAGGGAAAGAGTCTAAAAATGTCAGCCCTCTTAAAAGAAGTTTTCTAAATTCTTGTGATAAGTTTTTCCCCATTTCGTCGTGAAAATATCTGTGTTTCCTGCAAGAGTATAAAACCCTGATTTTTTTTTTTTTAAGAGAGAAGCCACGATGATGAACTCTTTCACAGACCTAACGGCACCCTCTTGCGGGGTTTCTCGTCAAAGATCAGAGTTGCATCATATTTCTTTGTGTCACAACTTGGCTTTAGGTTTTTCACTCCATGTCCGGGGGGCTGATTTAAAAAAAAAAAAAGCAGCTGATGCAGTCGCCTCTTGTGGATTTTGTGAATGAGATACACAGTGTTGAAGAGTAACTACATTTACAGTTTTGCTTTACTTGAGTGTGTCAGTATACACATATGAACAGCTTGCAAAATTGTAAACATTTTTATCAATTGTCCTCTTACAAGAAGCATTGTACGTTTCTTATGGGCAGTTAGGGAAATCAATGCACCTCCCTGTGAATCCACAAAGTCAGAACTCTTTCCTTTCTCTTGTGACCCATTGGAGATTCAGCGACCTTTAGGCCGGGTGCCCATTCTTCTTGCAGAAGTCGTTATATTAACATTTTGGCTGCACTCACGACCTCATTCAGTATCTGTCTGGTCTCCTCTGTCTCGTCTAGTGAGATATGTCTCATTCAGACGGGTGTGAAATCGGCCGTTAAAATTTTCTTCTCTCTTGCTCAACAGTCTGAAATCTCTCCCCGTGATTGTGAAACGATCCCGTCAGAGGTCGGTTCAGGTGCTCTGTGTCTCTGCTGTGATGTGTTATCAAAGGCCCCTCCTCTCAAACCGTGTCTCTTTTAGAAAGAGACCTTAGAATGATAATGATGTGGAAAAGTTTGCATTGTATTAAAATAAACAGTCTGGTTTCAATGGGCAGAGATTTTTGAAATAGTTTGCAGAAGTCTTTTGTTTAATTTTGCACAGAGGTTGGCAGGCATCCTTCAGACTGAGCTGGCGCCCCGCCCAAACTGAGAATCCACCTTTATTTTATTTCTTTCAATTTTCAGCCTTAAAAAAAAACATCCTCCAAACTGAAAGAAACAAATCACCTGGACAGAATATAATGATTGTAGATATTGATGCAACACTCCTAACAAGAAAGGTGTCCAAATGCTGATCAGTGAAGCAGCTATTGAACTTTGTTTGAGCTGTAAAAAAAAAGATTGAGGTCACTCACTATTCATTGAGTCAATGATTTGGGCTGAACAGTCCAAATTGTTTTTTTATCGTCTCCGAAAACTAAACAACTCAGAAATCTTTTTGACCACTGAAGAAGTATCCAGCGCTGTTCCTCTGCCCTTCAGTGAGTCAAACTAAGGTGAACATTTTGCATATTAGAATCATTAAGTTTGCTGATTCGTTTTTTACAGAAGTTTGGTTTGCAGCTTGGAAATTATCAACAGCCAATTTAATTTGTTAATATCTGGTGACCTTTGATGAGTTTCTCTCTCTCTATGCCAGCTCCTCTACTTCCATCCAGATGATCTAATCAGCTGATTAAATTATGCTGATTATTTATTCCCTCTACACTCCATGAAGTCATGAAATAATTATCATTTAACTTGGTGGGTTTCAAAAAATGCCAGTTCAAATAATTTAATCATCACTGGCCCGAGGGCGGAATAAAAATCACTATTTTCTCTGGAGTCTGCTTCATGAGAAGGAATGGAAGAGCTTCTCCTACATTTACTGTCTTTTACTGAGTTGCTCTGACTTTAAAGAAAGTAAGTAGGAAGTAAGGAAACTGCAGAAAGTATTTGCAGTTTTCAGAAGCTGAATTTCCTTTTGCTTTGGAAATGTTGAGCTCCAGACTGTTGGCTGCACACCAGTCCACCAGGGATCAAACCTCATTTTTGTGAGCTGCATCATTATTATTTTACACTGGACTAACGAACGTGGCATTACAAAAAAAAAAAGAAAATCAAAGTAAAAATCTTGTAGATCTTTGTTTTGTTTCTTTTGCGCCCCCTGTGGCCATGTGCTGTAACTGCAGGCGTGCTCAAGGTTGTTGTTTTTTTTTGACTCGTTGCTTTAATCTTTAAACCTTGAGTTTGTTTTTCTTGTCACAATTGGACAGTCTGAGAGCTGCAATGCATTGTGGGGCGGTTTACTAGACTAGAGTGTGCTTCTGACCTATAGTATACATCCTGGTATTTCTCTACACAGAATTGCATATGAAATTCGGATCATGCTAAATATAAAGTGTTTTGGCATTTTAATTCCCCAGATCTCAACTTAATCTTCTCCTATGAGAGTTTTTTTTTCTCATCAGAACATCTTTTAAAAAGAAATTGTTTCACCCCACAGAGACTTGTGAAATCAGCGCCAACGGGCATCTAATCCAACGCACGACTTAGACATTCAGTGTTGGTTTTGACTTTAATTTGCCCTCGATCTGTAGAGATATCCCCAAACCTAATGACCTACAAGGTTAGTAATGGCTTATTATTTATATATAAGCCATAATAAGTGATTCATTTGCCGTTACCAAATCCATTAGTCACATTTATACAAGCCATTTAAAAAGCATGCCTCCTTTAAAAGTGTGACTGATAATGGAAACAGGATGATGTGAGCGTGCTCAGTGCAGAGCAGCGGGCAGACAGCGCTGATGTGAGGCTGCATGTCGCTGCTCAATAACATGGGAGGCCTCCAGAGCTCTGACGGCCATCTGGATCACACACACACTAACACACACACACACATAAATATATACAAACACAGGGACACATGAAGATTGAAATTGTGCAAACAGCTGCCCCTGTTTCTAAAGCAGCAAAATCCACAGAAATCCATAAAAGTGATGTTTTCCAACACACACGGTCCATTTCCTGGTTTTCTGACCAGCAACGAGTGGTTTCCTCTGCCTCTCTAAGTGGTTTGGAGAGAAAAAAATGAAAGCTCCTTGTGGTTCTTGAGGTTTATTGATCCAAACATTTCCCTCCAGAATCACGAGAGAGCTGCATGTTTTATAGTGTAGAACACTAGAGCTCTGGTTTTCCTTTTGTTTTGCCGCCTGATAACACACCCTGATAAAAAAGAAAAGCATCCGACTGTCTGATATCATACGCTCGTCTTGTCTAGTATTCAATTTTACACCTTCAGGAAGATGTCAAGTGGAAGCGGTGCGTGCTGCTTATCACCCTCACATTGTGTAAGGGAGAGATACACAGAGACGATATCACGCTGCGTCTGAGGAGGAGAGAGAGGAGAGATAATGGGAAGTGATGCAGGGGGTGTTTGAAAGCTGAAGTCTTTATAATGACACACTGCTTGTGTTATTCCTGCACATATAATAATCCAATAAGAAGCCTCACGTACTCTTCTTCAATAAAGTCCATATAATTACCTGTTAGAGTCTATTTCCCTTGGATTCTTTTTTGAATACCTGCAACAAAACTTTAATTTCAGATATTTTGTAGAAGTTACTCCTTGCTCTTGTTTGTTCCATCATACCTAAAAAAAACAGCCACAATCTGTGTTCTAATTCCTGAATAGAAGTGCTATAAATGTAGTACTTTTCCTCATATCACTTGGCATTTAATAGATAAATAAATGGGAAACTTTCTAATTGGCTGTCGGTCATCTCTAATTTTGAACATTTCCAGTTGCAG